TCGGTATCCGCTTAGGATAAATCCTTAAATTTTGATCATTTCTATTTTCTATGTTTATCTAAAGGAAAATTGTATAGAGTGCGCAATACAATATAAAAGCTATTCTATAAAATTGTTATCATTTAAATCAACTCACCTTATTGCTTTTCCGTGTGCTGGCTGAGCCGGTAGTTATTATGTTTCGAATATGTATTGTATTATTACTTGAATCGTAGATTGCTTTGATAATTATGCATTAAGAACTATTAATATCCGTAGTTGGCCTTGATAATGCTGAGAGCGAGGGACAGAGGATGGGGAAGAGCGAGAATGGCTGCGATTCGAGTCCCACTCGCGATGCACAGTGTAGGCCAGCGAAAGTGGTCCTGGAACTGCCCTCGACCGCAACTCTCAGTGCTCATTTATCCGATTTGATTCGCATCCTCTGTCTGTATTCTTTAGTTAGTTATTCAAAAAACTTTTCGAGCGGCCCAGATCTTTGACAGTGGGTTAAAAAAAAAAAACAAAAAAAAAATATGAAGATAGATATAACTGGCCAAATGCTCACACCCAAAAACACTAAAAACACTAAAAACACACATACACCAAGGACGAAGGCGGAAACGGAAGTGGTAGTTGAAGCACTCGCGAAATTCCGAATCCGAATCCGAAACCGAATCCGAAACCGATGCCGAGAAAACGAAAAGCGACTATTCGATTATTTGCCGATTACTTAGGCGATTTGAATGGCTTTCTTTCAGGGCATTGTTCTTTCTCGGATGCGAATGAGATGTGCCTGCTTCTGGCCGGGATCTCGTTAATTTGGCTTATTTGGCTTTGCCACCGTTGTCGCTGCTGCTGTTTCTGCTTCTGCTTCTGCTGCTGGTGCTGGTCCCTTGATGGCCCATCCAACATCACCATCAGTATCACCATCACCATCGCCACCGGCCACTTGGACATTTCCAGCTCATTTGGCGCGGTATTAGTTGGGGTGTGATTCGCATTCGTGTCGGTTTTTCCGCCTGCAATCGTGGAAAAGCGGAAAGCAAAAGGAAACGGAAATTCTTTTATGGCTTTTCAATAAATTTGCAACAAATTATGGTCGTCGTTGGCTGTGCGTGTGGTTGTGGGTGTGCCAGTGTGTGTGTGTGTATTTGTGTATCTGTGTATGTATGTGTGTGGGTGATGGATGAAGTGTTTGCACAAACTGCCGATGGGATTGAGGTTGGCCAAATAAACCTAGTTTGCAGGCCTTCTTCCACCGCGTACAGTGCGTTTCAGGACTTTAAAGTGGGCTATCGACCTAGTGCAGTTGCCCTAATGAGGTCACGTACTTAATGCAGTAATCAAACATTATCTGGCACTAATCAAGTGCACTTATCGTCCTAAGAGGCTACACAAATTTAGTATAATACTAACGACTTTATTTATACATCAACAACAAAACGAAAAACTAAATGTTTTTCTGAATGAAAAAAACTTGTGTATAGCTGCTGAAAATGGTTATAAGTCTTACCTATTATCCAAAACTAACTTCATAAGCATTTTTAATTAAACCTTCACATATGTGCCAAGTTTTAATCATACTTTCCTAGACCATAGCTAAAACCTGTGTTAACAAAAAAAAGGTAATTTAGGTAGGAAAAGATGAGAAGAAAACAGAAGAATTTGCGCAATCTTAAAAAGTTTTAGCTCTACTCTTTTGTGCCAGAGCCTGATGATATATGACTCCTTGGCCCAATTTAACCCAACTTTCGCCAGTCTGATTTATTTGGCTTAAAGCTTAAAACGGCAGGTACCTCGGCGTTATATTACTTTATCTTTTTATCCTTTCGCATATTGGCTTACCGACCACCGTTTCGAGCCCCCTCGTTTTCCACCCGTCCACCTTCATTTTGTTGATGTTCTCCGCAAGGCTTTTTAAACTTGTCATACATTTTGATAAAGAATCCGCCTTGTTCCCTCGAGGGCCTGCGATGCTGTCAGCACTGCCCCGCCTACTTTTTTGGCCACTTTTCCGATTCCCTCTCACCTGGCCTTCCATACCCCCCACCCAACCCCCTTTCCGACCCCTTTTTATAACGCCACCCCTGACGGGAAGTGCAAAATTTTGCAAATTCAACGGAGAGTGTAGGGGGGGCTCTCCTGTCTTTTTTCCTCCAGCTATAGTCATCTCTTTCGCTGGGTCTTTAACCAAATTCGCATTCTTCGCAATTTAAGTGAATTCCTGTGCTCCGGCAGCCTGCGGCCCAAAATGCTCCCCGACTTGACTTTGTCTTTTGTAGTTTTATTTCATTTCATTTCAGTTCGTTTTACTTCGCTAATGGCACAAAGTTGCCGTAAAGTACAGAGAGCCAAAAATGGAACCTAGTTTGCCATATTTTTCAACTTTAAATGTTAATATTTTTAAGTTTAAAAACCCTAAAGGCTAACACACTTTATATTATTAATTTTGAATGTGATAATTCATACCAAAGTATGCATAATTTTTAATTATTTCCTGTTAGAAACCAGCAATCAGCAAATAATAAAAATTCTCAGAAAACATCAAAATTTATAATTAGCTCTCTCTCTGATTAAATGCTATAATAAATTAGTTTTAGTTTAGTAGATAGAAATAACTTATCTTCCGTTTATAAATGAAGTCAGTAAAATTGTTCCCATTGTTAACTGTGTATCTAAAAAGTAGGGTTGGGTTGGGAATTTAGCGGGGTGAGGGGGCGGTACTGCAGCCGCCCACAAAAATTGCAAGGGACTGGAGATTTGGGGGATGGTCTCAAAGTTTGAACTTTCCCCCTGGCTTCTTTTACCATTTCGAATTTCTTTAACGCGACTTTCTTGCATCTCTCACTATTTGTTGTTGTCTTTTACACTTTGGGGTTTCATTAACATTTTTACGGCTTGTACTGTGGTCCGTTGAGGAAAAACCAGGCCCACTTGACTGATGCTCAGCCACACACGCACACATGTGCAGCGAAAAATGTTCAAGGACATTTCCAATGGCAGTGCGCAAAAAGGGAAAATATATTCCTGCTCAATGGATCGCCAAAAACATCGCACATCACACATGTGAGAACCATTAAAGTTCTAGATTTTGTACGAACAAAATATCAGAGGAAAAATTCAAATTATGTATTACAGCCGACCTGCAATGTTATGAATATGAAAATCGTTTTTAACGATGCGTCGCGACGTTCAAAATAAATAGAAAGATTTGAAACAGCAAAAAAAAAAAAAAAATACCAAAAAAAAAAAACAAAATCAGTTTAGTATTTACGTCACAACCATTTGATGGCTATTTAAATATTAATAAAAGCAGAGGAAATGCGAACATTATGATCGAGGGCTAAACACCTACCTCAAAGTTATGCTGGGTGTTTAAAGCTTCTTCTAGGTGAGATGAAGTTAGAAAGAGATTTTTTTTGTATAGATTTTTTTTTTAGATTAAAAATTTTTGTTTCGCGTCGCGAGCACTGGAAAAAAATGTGAAAAAAATAGAAGAATTCGTAGGAGGCTGCGACGGTTTTAGCGGACTTTTGGCGACGAATTCAACGACGACGACGACGACGGTCTACTAACACGGCTTAAAAAGGGCGGCTCAATGGTCGTTTGGTCTTCCGGCTGATGTGGCTGTTGCTAGTGTTGCTGCTGCTGCAAGTGTTGCTGTTGTTGTTGCTGCTGTTGCAAGTGCTGCTGCTGGTGTTGCTGCCACAACTTTTGCTGCTGCTGCTGCTGCGGCTACTGCTGCTGCTGCTGCTGTTGGTGGTTGCGTGTCGCGTGTCGCGGCTCTGTACATCGCGCCGTATACCCAACGACTAGCTGGAGACCATAATGTGCGGAACGGAACCCAGAATCGCAACGCCCGAATATCGCCAACCGATTCGTTTCCGAAAATCCGAAGTCGAGTCGCTATTTTCCGAATCCCAAAAAGCCAAAACCGACTGCAGCCGCCGACGTAGACGTCGCTGCCCACATCGACATCGACGCCGACGTCGACGTCGAAAGAGAGATGCTTTCACCTTGCCTTTCTTTTCGCACCGTTCTATGTTCGATGTCGAAAAAGCTTTTGCGGCGCAGCTTTGAAGGTCAGTGGCGGGCAGGCGCAACAATCGCTGCCCCTTGCCTCCTTCGTGTGTGTTTTTTTTTTTGCCGGTGGAAGTGTGTAAACGCAGAACGTGGACACGCGGTGGAAAGTGGGCCAAACTGGCTTCGGAGCGACGCAACCACCGCAGCGGAATGCAGCAGATTTTCGAATTTCCACTTTTCCACACGCGAAAGCTCTTCCACAAAGTTTTGCCAGGATTAAAACCGTTAAAACAAAGTTGCTTGAAGATTTATTAAAAAAAAATGTTATTTAAGCTAAAACTATAAACTATAAAAACAATTAAATAAAAATACTAATAAGTACAAATTAATTTTTAAATCTTTATTAACAATAAATAACTTAACATTTGTAACAATTTAATTATACTTATACGTTTTTACAAATTTTTTTAAAATTTATTAGCTGCAATATTTGCATGCGTGAGTTTTACATATTTAACTTCTAAGGGAAAACTCGCTTTCAAGTTTTTCAAAGCTTATTCAAAAAGCTTATAGTCGGCAACTTGCAAAACAACTTTTAAAAGTTAAAAGTCCTAGAAAAGGTGAGTTTAGGAGCATAGATATTAGGTAGATCTAGTAGGTGAACAAATTATCATTACAATATTATAACAAATGACAAATCTGTTTGCCAAAATCTTTTGTTAAACTATTTTTAAAGTTATAAATTATCTAACTACTTTTCATTTACTACCATCATTTTTTTAAGGACTAACGAATTCTCAAAAATATTCTTGGGTAATACATTTTAAAAATATGCGAATATAATATATATTAAGGTCATACATTAATTCGAACATTAAATATTGCATGGGAAATATTTAACCTTTTTTTAATCATGAAATTTCAGGGTATTTGAACCGCTTGTTTTTAAACACAGTTCTTGACTTTTCCGGCAGGGTGACAACAGTAGACATAGCGACGGGAAAACAAACAGGAAAAACAAACAAATAACAGCTGTCAGTCGGTGCGAAGCCGATCGAAACCCCATCACTTTTCCAGGTCGGCACCGTCGGGCGCCGATTTCCGTAATGTCCAGCCGCCGAGTGGTCATCAAGGATAAGGGCAGGGATCGGGGCAAGGACGAAGATAAAGCCGAGGGCGACGACGACGGTGGCGGGGAGCGGAGAAGGAGGATGAGGCTGAGAAGGCGGCAGTCGGCGGGAGATGGTGCAGATCCCAACAACGAGGCCAACAGCAAAATGCCACTGACCGCCGAGGATCACGTAAAGCGCCAGTCCGTGGAGCGATTAGAAAGCGATGGTAACGATGGCAACGATGGCAGCAGCGCCGGCCCGTCGGAGAGCATGGCCGGCGGAAAAAAGAAGAAGACGCCCAGGTACCGGCTTAACTTCTCCATCAAAAAATCCGTGATTTCAGCGGGTGGTGGTGGCAAATCGCGCAGCGCCAGCACCACCAAAATCACCACCGGTGCCTCCCTCATTCCCGACCTCAATCTCATTATCAACCGGATGCGCAACATGCCCGACGACACGTTCGTCTACATGGACTACATGCTGCCCCACGACAGCGAGTACTTCACCCCGTACAGCCTGCGCCAGGTGGAGTACAAGGAGCTGAACACCTACGAACCCTTCTACACCGTCACCCGCCACGGGGTCACCTACTGGCACTGCTCCGAGAACTTCTTCACGCCACTGGACCAGTGGCAGCAGGAGTTCGAGCAGTTCCTCAGCATCGTCCAGATACGATCCTTCGCCATCTTCCGGCTGTGGAAGGGGTTCAAGGTAAGGTTCGCCAAAATAACACAACCCTAAATCAGGGTTTAGTTTTAAATCGTTTTTGTTGAACAAACCCTAAAGAATAATATTTTCTATTTAATTTTGATGCTATTTTTTTAATTTAATTTAGTAAAACCCATTAATCAATATACATACTCAAAGGCCAACACCCTTTAATTTAAATAAATGTAATTGTCCTACCTTTTTAAAGAGTATTATAACATAAAATATTTTTAGTTGAGTAATTTATTGACCACACTATTTTGGTATTAAACAAATACTATCTTTAATTTGCACATTTTAGGTGTGGCAAAAGACGATCAAGTGGCGAAAACTGAACGAAGCACGCGACTATCTGCAAAATAACCTCTTCATCGTGATTCCCCATCTGGCCAAGGCAATTCTGCGCATGCGCAACGAAATTGTCCAGATGCAGCGACTTAATTTCGTGAATGTCTCCAACATCGAGAACTGGCATCCGTTCTACTTCCTGGAAGTGCACATGCGCCTCTACGAGCAGCTCCGCAAGACATTTATCGATTTTCGGGAGTTCATTGGCAAGACCATATGTGAGTGTTATGTTTAATTGACCAATTCTCAAGGAAAAGCATTAACTTTTCACAAAAATCACTAAGGTTTTATAATCACTCCTAAAGATGCCTAAAAGTATGCAGTGGAAAATATAAGGTTATCTTTATCAACGAATCTATTGGACTTCCGCTTTTAAAAATATGTTTGCATACTTTTAGACAATTTTTCTTTGTATGAGCTATAAGCCTCAATTAGACATTTTAAAAGCATCTTATAAGAAAAATTTGCAATTTATTGCTTTAAGGATAGGTAATCATTGCAAAGCACCAACAAAATCCCTTATAAAATTGTCTTCTTTGTACACCCCATAAAAGATCGATCCTGCACGGAAGCAATTCAAGCACGTGGTTTCTATCCGGATGACGAGATCAACTACTACCCGTCGCTGAAGAAAATGCGTGAGGCGCACAGCTTTATGGATCGCGCTCGAAAGCGAGCCTTTTGCAAGACCTTGACCAAGTAGGCCTGAATACGATAACCATCAATATTTTGATCACATTTCAATTGACTATTTCGATTAGTTTTCTCACCTACTGCGACATGATGATCTACCAAATGCTGTACCGCATTACGATCAAAAGTTTCGCCGATTTGGCCCAGGCCTTCGAGTTGCACGATGAGCTTGGTCCTTCGGAGGAGGATATAAACAGACACAATCGGGTGGACAAGCCGGTTGAGAGGCAACGGCCGGAGGACAAGCCGCAGAGTCCGTTCTTTTTGGCCATGTTGCGACTGCTGCCCGATCGCATTGATGTGGAGCCCTCGGAGGATGTGATCAGGATTATCTTTCAGCGCATCACAGGGCTTATACTTGAGACGGTCCTCGATATCCACCCATTAACCACTGATCCCTACTTCTTGCAGTACACTAAGTAAGTTGGTTAAATTTGCAGATGATATGTTGAATACTCACAGTGTTAGGAAAGTACTAGTTTTTTTTTTTTTTTTTTGGCAAAAATAGGTACTTAGGTATGGTACACGATATTTAAGTATCTGGTGAGGTTAAAGGTACAACAAAGGTAAAAATAAAACACATTTTTAGGTTGAATTTGAATAAATAAGAGCTTTTTGAGGTCAGTTAAATTCTCGAGGTTGTAAAAACCCACATCATTATTTCTACCTTGCTTTAAAATTATGCCATTTACTGACACATAGAAAAGATTAAAAATTAAATTCGAAAACATAAAAAAAAAAAATTTCAGAACCTAAATACCTAACATAGCTTATGCTTAAGGTTATTTAAAACCGTAACCTACCTAGGTGGGGTTTAAGATACCACAAAATTGTACCTAAACACAAGTTTTAGGTACACCCGAAGACTATATACACATTGTATTGACTTGATATGATTTTAGACCCTCGATTATGGGTCGTCAGGAGGAGGTGCTATACGATGGAGCCCCCGATTTGCACTTTTTGCTGCGCTCTGATCAACAATTCCAGTTTAATCGGTAGATATTTCTAAAATATAAGTAAATATTATAATGATGTATTGATTTCCTCGCCAGCAAAAACATGTTCGCGTTGATCCGCAATGCTTATGATAGAGCTAGTCTTTATACCCAGCGGTTCATGGAAATACGTGAGAACTTTGAGATAGACAACAGCACAGATCCCGCTGTTCTTGACACAGAGAGAGGTATAATAATAATAAAATAATAACACACAAAGAAAAACTACATAGCCCACATCTCATTTCAGATCTTCAAGTGCTGCGGGCCTACTGCGATAGGTACTGCAATAATTTGAGAGCTTTAGACGGAATCTTGGAGTATGTGTACCTGGGACAACTGAAGCTCACCCAGACGAACTTCAAGGATACGGTGACGCCAGTTTGCTCGCGACTCCAGAACGTCCTGGCCACCTACCTGCCCAAATTGGCCGAGGAGGAGACCACAAGGCTCTACGAGGAGGCCCAGGACTTCTTTGGCCGGATCTGCTATGAGCCGCACGAAACGCTGGAAATTGTGGCCCACATCCGATTCCTGGACCAGTGCTCATCCGAACTGGACGAGATTTTCGATGGCATAGACTATGTGCACGACCTGCTGCTGATTATCAAGGACTTTGGCATACCGATCGAAGACCAGGCCAAGGAGGACTACATGGACACCGAGGACTATTTGAATCGAACGCGGGAGACGCTGGAGGAGATCAGGGAAAAGCGGCAGGAGTTCATCAATCGGCTGGAGGACGCCATGCAGGATGACATAGCGACACTCAAGGAGGAGATACACGAGGTGGCCATTGAAGCTCTGCAGCCATGGCTTCTGGATGTGAGTGCATTAAGTTTTAATTACCCTGACAGTATAATTATTTAATGGTATTCTAAGTCAAAATCCATTTACATTTACATGAGTAAAACAATTTTGGGTTGGTTGTTTTTGAAATTTGTAGTCAGAAAGTTTCAAGAATATATTACTCCCTATACTTATTACTTATCATACAGTTGCGGTCAAAATAAAAGTAGTTCTTTAGTTAACCGAGGAAAGATTTCCTCGGAATTTATAAAGATTATTTTTTAAAGACTAAAGATAATTTTGTTTTTAATATTTTATCAATTAATGTTTCTACTCAAATCGAATGTGTTGCAGGCCAATTCCAACCGATTGTCGGTCACCAATAAGCTGGACGACTTGCTGGAGAGCCTAAACAAATGCCGCGAGAGAGCCGACGAATTCCTGGGCTACCAGAAGGAGTTCCAGATCGATCTGACCATGTACGAGGAGATGGCCAACGGCTTCTACGACATACGGATGCGCCAGAATCTGTACCGCACCTGGTCCGACTGGGAGGAATCGCTGGCCGAGTGGATAGCAGCCGATTTCGGCACCCTCACGGTCAACGACTTGGTCGAGCTCAATGCCAAGACCATCAAGAACTGTCTGCAGTTCCAAAAGTACCTGCCCGATAACAACATTGTGCCCGTGCTCTTTAAGTCCGCAGAGGCCTTCAGGGAGAAGCTACCCGTGATTGGCTACCTGCGTAATCCCAATCTCAGAGCTGTAAGTTTCCTATTTTATTTATTTTTCAATTTTATTTATATTTTATTCTGTTCGAGGAATTTTTAAGCTTTTCAAAACAATGATTTACTTTCTTGTACCTAAACCATATTGGAGACCTTTAATTTTTCTTCCTTTATTATCTTCCTTTAGCGTCACTGGGCGGAGATCGAGGATCTGCTGAATCGAAAGTTCTTCCAGGAGAAGGACATTAAGATCCAAACGTACGAGGATGTGCACGCTTTCGACGATGTGAATATCGGCGAGGCCCTGATGCAGATATCCTCGCAGGCCACCGGCGAGGTGCAGCTGGAGAACATGCTGAAGGCCATCGAAGCCACCTGGAAGGAGACGGAGCTGTCCATTGTGTCGCACCACGACGCCAAGGATGTCTTCATCCTGGCCGGCACCGAGGAGCTCCAGGCGGTCCTGGACGACTCCAATGTGAATATCAACACCATAGCCGCCTCCAAGTTTGTGGGCCCCATCAAGGGAAAAGTGAACGAGTGGATTAACGCCATGGATCAGTTTAGCAAGACCTTTGGTGGGTATCCTTATATTTAGTAAAGAAATCTTAATGTGAAAAGTCGAGGAAAAAAGAAAATGAAAATTTCTTTCGGCCAGTTGAAGCTTAACTAACTTTGAATTTATAAACAAATATGGCATAAATCAAGTAATGGTTTATCCTTTTTAGCATTTGCAGAATTTAAGATATCCTAGGATAGAACTTAAAAAATAAGAATGCCTAATTTTAAAATATTACAACTCACCCGTTTCGTCCAACAGAAAGCTGGATGGATTGCCAGGGCGCTTGGATTTACCTGGAGGCCATCTTCGCCTCGGCGGATATCCAGCGGCAGCTGCCCCACGAGGCCAAGATGTTCTTCACGGTGGACAAAAGCTTCAAGGAGACGGTGCGGCAGGCGAAGAAGGTGGCCCTGGCCCTGCCCACCATGTCCAGTGTGGAGGTGCATAAGGTCCTGTTGGAGAACAACCGGTTGCTGGACCTCATCTCCAGAGGATTGGAGGCCTACTTGGAGGTGAAGCGGGTGGTGTTCCCCAGGTAAGAATATTTGTATATTCAAGGTACATTAAAAACATTGGAAAATATTCAATTCATTGATTTAGATTATATTCGTTTGTTATGTATATTGCTCAATATTATATAAAATAATTTTTAAAAAATACATTTTTGAAAATTTCGACAAAAAGTAAAGTATGATTTTTGATAGCCAGTTCTTGTGTTTATTTATTATTATATTTAAAAACATATTTATCTCAAGATACTTAATTATTAGGTGTGTATATAAGGTTGTCAAACGATTAGCAATTACCTTTAGATAATAAAGTTCTTTTAATTGAATACATTCTGAGGCGATAAATATACTTTGCATTTTTAGACATTGATTTTATATACCTAGTTTAGGTATTTCAAAAGAATTTTAACTCAAGAAACTAAATAGTTATGTGTATAGTAAGACAAAAGATTTGTGAGTATCTTTGAATATAAGAGTGGTATAAATTAAAAAAGTTATACAAAATAAAAACATTTAACATAGTATACAAAAATAAAGACAATTTATTATAAAACAAAGCCAGAATTAAAGGCCATGCATTCAGTGATCGATAGACTAGCTACTATGTTTGTCTTTGTATGTTGGTCTTAATTTGTTACAAAATTTGTTCCTGTAGATTCTACTTTCTGTCCAACGATGAGCTGCTGGAGATCCTGGCCCAAACGCGCATTCCGCAGGCAGTGCAGCCGCACCTGCGCAAGTGCTTCGACGCCATCTACCGGCTGGAGTTTGGAACCAAGGAGGGCGGCGACGGGAAGATGGTGGCCACCAACGATATTGTGGCCTTCCTGTCGCCCGAGGGCGAGAAGCTGCAGTTCGGCAAGGGACTGAAGGCCCGTGGGGCCGTCGAAGAGTGGCTGAGCAAGGTGGAGGAGGCCATGTTCGTGGCCGACAAGCGGTACATGCGGTTCGGATACCAGTGCTATCCGGCCAAGGAGCGCGAGGAGTGGTTCCAGGACCATCCCAACCAGGTGGTGTTGACCGTCTCCCAGGTGCAGTGGGCCGCCGACATCCATCGCATCTACGAGGGCAAGGAGCGCAATCCCCTCAACATCATCGAGAAGATGGGCAAGTTCGAGGTGAAGTGCCTCAAGGATCTGGGCGCCCTGGCCGCCTTGACCAGGAAGAGCATCAGTTCGCTGCTGCGCAAGGTCCTCTGCGCCCTCATCACCATCGATGTGCATGCCAAGGACTCGGTGCGCATGCTGATCGAAAAGGAGGTCTGCAAGGCGTGAGTGTTTAAGGGGTTAACCCGGTACTTTAATATGTTTTACATTTTATTATAACTATCTTATAATGTGCCGTTAAAATACCAAAGTCGATCCAAACAAACTTGACAAAGATATGAGCATTTAAAAGAAAAGAATCCGCTGGGTAGCCAATTAATATAAATTTTAAAATGAGTTTTTCTAGTAGTATAAGTAATTTTAAAACTACCGAACCGATCTTTTTTAGAAATCAAAACACATATATTAATTGTCAGCCATTTTGTTTAAATTTCATGTTTTTATAAACAATTTGATTAAAGACTATTTTATAGTGGTATTTTTATTAAGCCAAATGACATTTTTTGCCAATTTGGTCAACGCAAATCAAAATCAGAGGACATTTATTAAACAGATCTTTTTTAAATAAATATTAAATAATTTGATAAATATATTTAATTGATGTACTTTAAGATAATTTATTGATCGTTTGAAAAAGTTTAGTAGTTTTCGGTCGAAAAATTCCAGAAAATGGCCTTTTTTTGCCCTTTACTGGGATTTGGAAATATATATATTAAATACAAAAGTATTTACACAATTTGTAAGCATTTGTGTAAATAATCACCAAATTTATATTCCCTTGCAGAACCGACTTCAACTGGCTGAAGATGCTGCGATTTTACTGGGCCGATGAGACGGAATCGGTCTACTCCCGCATGGCTGCCGCAAACATACCCTACTACTATGAGTATTTGGGGGCAGGTGGTGTCCTCGTGCTGACCCCGCTGACCGATCGCTGCTACCTCTGCCTGATGGGCGCCTTCCAGATGGACCTGGGCGGAGCACCGGCTGGACCGGCCGGAACGGGCAAGACCGAGACCACCAAGGATCTGGCCAAGGCGCTGGCCAAACAGTGCGTCGTCTTCAACTGCTCGGATGGCCTCGACTACAAGATGATGGGGCGCTTCTTCTCGGGACTGGCCCAGTGCGGTGCCTGGTGCTGCTTCGACGAGTTCAACCGCATCGACATCGAGGTGCTGTCCGTGATTGCCCAGCAGTTGATCACCATCCGGACGGCCAAGGCCATGCGGGTGAAGCGGTAAGTTAACCTTAGTTAACCTTAGTTTTTATACAATATATTAAACATATTTGCGAGTTTCACATATTTACTAACATAAACTTATTGAAAACAAACATATGACAGGTTTATTTTAGTAAAAGAGATATATTTTAATCTTGTTGGTGTAAAACCAATTTTAGGATTTTTGTTTTGGGTTTTTGAAGATTTTTCAAAAAAAAAAAACACATTTCTTAATATTCTGTTTGTTGTAACTTGACGAAAATAGGCTGTACAGCCAGAAATTGTCCAGTTTGAGAAACTGTATTTTCCATTCCCCGCGGATCTTACAAAATTAATTTTATGATCAATATTTGCATATTTCATACATCATGATTTTTGTCAAAAAAAAAATGTTATATAACTTGGCCAAAATAAACTGCACAGCTAAACGACTTATCTAATAATTCCCATCACTCTTCGTCATATGTTTTTTTTACCAAATTTTGCATTTTTCATAAGGGTCTATATCACCTTTTTCGTCTTTTTCAAATAGCTTCGTCTTCGAGGGTCGCGAGATCAAGATCAATCACTCCTGCTGTGTGTTCATCACGATGAATCCCGGCTACGCGGGTCGCACCGAGCTGCCCGACAATCTGAAGGCCCTGTTCCGACCCATCTCCATGATGGTGCCCGACTACGCGCTCATCTCGGAGGTGATCCTGTACTCGGAGGGCTTCGAGGACCCCAAGATCCTGGCCCGCAAGATGGTGCAGATGTACCAGCTGTGCAGCCAGCAGCTGAGCCAGCAGAATCACTACGACTTCGGCATGCGAGCCGTGAAATCGGTGCTGGTGATGGCCGGTGCCCTTAAGCGAGCGTCGCCCGATCAACGCGAGGACATCACCCTGATTGCCGCCCTGCGGGACTCCAACATACCCAAGTTCCTGGCCGACGATGCGGTCCTGTTCCGCGGCATCCTCAGCGATCTGTTTCCCGGCGTCGAGCTGCCGGACTCACAGCATCCGCATCTGGAGGAGAGCTTGCGACTGGGACTGCGGCAGAAGAACCTGCAGGCGGTGCCGACCACGATCCGCAAGTGTCTGCAACTCTACGAGACGATGTGCGTCCGCTGGGGCGTGATGCTGGTGGGTCCCACTGGCGGCGGCAAGTCCGTGGTGCTGCACGCCCTCGAGTTCGCCCTTGCGCATCTCTTCGAGAACGAGGTGCAGGACCCAAACTTCCGGCCCGTCGTCATCCAGACCATGAACCCCAAGGCGGTGACCATGAACGAGCTGTACGGCTATGTGGATCCCAAGACGCTGGAATGGCAGGATGGTCTCCTGGGATTGGCCGTGCGAACGGCCACCACCATAGAAGGTAAGGGCTTTAACCTGAGGCATTTTTATCTTTCTATGTTGTATGATAACAATAATTTCTTATTGTTTTTATTTATCTTTACAAATATTTAAAAATATTTTACGACTACAGATTAATATACCCGGATTAATTAAATTTTGTTAGAGTTGTCCTATTTTTACGGAAAGTTCTCAAAATAATTTTCGTTAGTAAAAACACTCTACTTGCAAATATGAATAATATAAGCCAAATCGACTCATTTATATTGAAAAGAAAAAGTTATTAAGTTGTTATACCAAAATATTGTTTATTTAATGATTTTTTTCATTTTTTGTATTTGATTTTTATACCATAATATTTTTTGTTAGCTGTGTTGTTACTATTTTAAATTTTTATTATTATTTTTTTTTTTATTTATTTAATTTTTTTTTTGCAAAACTTATTTTTTAAATGCATTTTATAATGACAAAAAAATGATCTAATTCAGTTACCAAAATATTGTTTGCTAGCTGTATTTTTGCCTATTTTATTTATTTATTTACTTAATTTATTTATTTTTTTTTTGCAGATGAGATCCACCAGTGGATCATGTGCGACGGGCCCGTGGATGCGGTGTGGATCGAGAACCTGAACACGGTGCTGGACGACAACAAGATGCTGTGCCTGGCCAACTCGGAGCGCATCAAGCTGACCGCCTGGATCCACATGCTCTTCGAGGTGCAGGACCTGCTGCAGGCCTCCCCAGCCACCGTCTCGCGGTGCGGCATGGTGTACGTGGACCCCGGCGACCTCGGCTGGATGCCGCTGATCGACACCTGGCGCGAGGTGGACATGCGGCACAAGCTGCCGGCACCGCTGGCCGAGTTCTGCTACCAGCTCTTCGTGGGCCACTTCGACAAGGCGCTGAAGATCGAACGGAAGCGGGCGGTGTATACCATCCATCAGGTGCTCAACTCCAAGGTGCGACTGTGCTGCGAGCTGATCTCATCCCAGCTGGAGGCGGTCAAGTGGACACCGCTGGCCGAGGTGCAGGCCAAGGAGCTGCTGACCAAGATCTTCGCCTGGGCGGTGCTCTGGGCCGTTGCCTCGAATCTCAAGGATGCGGAGAAGGTGTCCTTCGAGGAGCAGTGGAGCCGGGCCATTTCCCAGCATCCGAATATGAGGTAAGAGTAGGTGGGAGGGGGGGCTCACTGTACCATCACGCCTTTGCAATTGCACACAGTAGACACTAACAATGTGCAAACTATCCACAATTATATAGATTATTTATTTTTCATCGCTAATCTTTTAACTTAATTAATTAACTAATTAAATTGAGCACCTCTGCATTTAGGTAGTGGAAAAATGTAAAATGCTTAAAACATATCTTTGAGACATAGGACAATATTTATTTCATTAATTATAATGCTAACTAATCACTCAACAAAATTAGACTTAAAAAAAAACTGTAAAATAATTCCTTAAAATTAACATTTCGAATTAGTTAAGTAAATGATTTTTTAGCAATTAATTGAAGTAACCATTAATCGTCGTTCATCTGCACTTTGAATTGGAATGAAAATGTTTTTCAAATTAAAATTAAAAAAGAATTTTTTGTTTATAATTCTTTTTAAAAAATGTTTTAAAATATTATACATATGATAATTGTAGATTTGTAGATTTTTAGATTTGCCCCATTTAGTTTATAGTATAAATAAAAACAAATTTCCAAAATTGCTCCCAAACTAATTTTGATTGATATTATTCTTGAGCTAAAAAGCTACTATTATTTTGAGCGCAACTTTATATCTCTATTGCCAAACAGCCTGCCCAACTATTCCATGTGGAACTATCGCATCGACCTGGAGAAAATGGACTGGGGCAACTGGCTGGATATAATGGCCAAGTTTGTGTTCGATCCGGAGACCTCCTACTACGACATGCAGGTGCCCACGGTGGACACCACCAAATATGGGTGAGATGGCTCCTCTGCCAGTGTAGTAGTAGTAGTAGTATCCAGATCTCCGTGCTCAATGCCAATCCCCTCCAGCTATGTGTCCGATCTGCTGTTCAAACGGGGCATGCCCGTCATGTTCACTGGGGACACGGGCGTGGGCAAGACGGTGCTGGCCATCAGTTGCATGAAACGCCTGTCCGAGGGCCGTGTCATACCGGTGATCCTGAACTTCTCCGCCCAGACGAGCAGTGTGCGCACCCAGGAGATGATCGAGGGGCCGCTGGAGAAGCGCAAGAAGACGCAGCTGGGTGCTCCGGTGGGCAAGACGGTGATCGTGTTCATCGACGACGTGAACATGCCCAAGCTGGACACGTATGGCGCCTCGCCGGCCATTGAGCTGCTGCGTCAGTTCCTCGACTTCAAAGGCTTCTACGACCGCGAAAAGCTCTACTGGAAGGAGATCCTCGACGTGGTCCTGGGCTGTGCCTGTGCTCCGCCAGGTGGAGGACGCAACCCACTGACGCCGCGCTTCGTCCGGCACTTCGCCCTGTTCTCGCTACCAAAACCGAACGAGGAGACCCTTACCCAGATCTTCAATGGCATACTGCGCGGCTTCCTGCAGACCTTCTCGTCGGCGGTGCGCAATCTCTCCGAGGCCATGGTCAATGCCTGTGTGGACGTGTACATGCGGGTGGCCAATGTGATGCTGCCCACGCCGGATCGATCGCACTATATCTTCAATCTGCGCGACCTGTCCAAGTGCATACAGGGCATCCTGCAGGCCAGCAATCTGAACTACAACCAGGAGAACCAGATCCTGCGGCTCTTCTACCACGAGACCACGCGCGTCTTCCACGACCGCCTGATCGACCACGACGACAAGCAGCTGTTCAAGTCGTTAATGCGGGACGTCTGCCTGGAGCACTTCGATCGCCCGGTGATCGATGATGCCGAACCGCCCATTCTCTTTGGCGACTTCATGGTCTTTGGCAAACCGAAGAACGAACGCATCTACGACGAGATCAGGGATCAGGGCAAGCTGGAGAGCGTGCTCAACGACTACATTGCCGACTACAACACGGTGGCGGTGGGCAAGCAGATGCACCTGATCCTCTTCCAGGACGCCATGGAGCACACGGTGCGGCTGGCGCGCCTCTTGCGCAGCGATCGCGGCAATGGGCTGCTGGTGGGCGTGGCCGGCATGGGCAAACAGTCCCTCACCCGTCTGGCCTCGCACGTCAACGAGTACAACTGCTGGCAGATCGAGATGCGGCGCAACTACGACCTCAACGCCTTCCACGAGGATCTGCGCGTCCTCTACCGGATCGCTGGCGTGAGTATTTCAGGAGGTTACTCACCTATTTACTTACCCATTTGCTAGTTTGAAATTTTAAAACATTATTTTGTGCAAGCTCTTGAGGTATACCCATTTCGTCCTAAAAACTACAAGTCGATCCGGATAAAGTTGACAAACATATGAGCATTAAAGGGAAAGAGTTTGTTTAGCAAACTTAAAACTTTTAATACATTTTTGCCGAAATTATTATTTATTATTTATTATTTTTTTCTTTAACAGATTGAAAACCAACCGGTGACCTTCCTACTGATCGACAGCCAGATTGTGGAGGAGGAGTTCCTCGAGGACATCAACAACATCCTCAATTCCGGCGAGGTGCCCAATCTGTTCGAGGGTGATGAGTTCGAGAAGGTCATCTTGGATGCCCGCGACGGGTGTAATGAGTTCAGGAAAGATGATGTGGGTATTCCAAATACTATATAGTCGACATGGTAGCACTATTAAATCATTTTGATCATGTGGTTTAGCTCTGCACGCGTGATGACATCTACAAGTTCTTCATCAACCGGGTGCGCAACAATCTGCATGTGGTGATGTCGATGAGTCCGGTGGGCGATGCCTTCCGGCGCCGATGCCGCATGTTCCCCTCGCTGGTCAACTGCACCACCATCGACTGGTTCACCAGCTGGCCCACGGAGGCCCTCTACTCGGTGGCCCTTGGGCTGCTGACCAAGATCACGCCCAACATGGAGGATCGCGTCTCGCTGGCCAGCACCACGGTGTTCATGCACAAGGTGAGTGTGGGATTAGACCCATGATGAGTAGCTTCTTCTGGTAATGGACAAATCCCCCACAGACCGTTGAGGATGCCTCGGTGAAATTTTACAAGGAGATGAAGAGACACTACTACACCACGCCCAGTAGCTATCTGGAGTTGCTAAAGCTCTACCAGAATCTGCTGAAGATCAAGAACATGGAGATCATTGCCAAGAGGAAGCGAATTGCCAATGGGCTGAACAAGCTGCTGGAGACCAATGAAGTGGTAAGTGACTCCAATAGGATGGATAACCTGATAATTAAATTAAAAATAAAATTTTAAATACAACGCACATTATAATATATTGAAATATTTGAATTAATGTGAAAAATTGAAAGTTGGTCCTATTTGTATTAAATGCATTTTATTTAAGTTTGATTAAAATAGTCAAATTAAATATTAAATTACATTGAGTTTAATATACCTGGATTAATTTCGTTATTTTTTCCAGTGTACACTGATTAAAAGGGAAATTAATATATATGCCTATTGAATACAAAATGTTATATATCATAATAGAATTTAAAATAAAATGTTAAATACAGTGCATATTAAATGTCATGATTTAATATTCAAATATTTAGTTTTATGTGGTAGTCAAATAAAATATTATAAATAAATGTAGTGGATGATAATCAAATAAAAAGTATTTAAATTGAGTAGCAAATTCTTACCAGTACAGTTTATAGCTCCTTTAATCTTTAGAGAGTATAACACTCTATTTCTATACTTAGATCGCCGTCATGGGCAAGGAACTGGAGGTGATGGTGCCCCAGCTGGATGAGAAGTCGGCCATGATGAAGTCGCTGGTGGACAACCTGACCAGGGAGACCAAGCAGGCGGATGCAGTGAAGCAGAGCGTGCTGGAGGACGAGATGAATGCCAAGGAGAAGGCGGCTGTGGCCCAGGCGATCTCCGAGGATGCCAGCAAGGATCTGGAGATAGCCATGCCGGCCCTACGCGAGGCGGAGGATGCGCTCAAGGGTCTGACCAAGGCGGACATCAACGAGCTGAAGTCCTTCACCACGCCGCCGGCTCTGGTGCAGTTCTGCATGGAGGCCGTTTGCATCCTGCTGGGCGTCAAGTGGGTACATTCCTATCATCTCACTTTCTCACCCCATTAAATGTGTTTATTACAGACCCACTTGGGCATCGGCCAAAGCCATTATGGCCGACATTAACTTCATCAAGCGGCTGTTCGAGTACGACAAGGAGCACATGAAGGACGAAACCCTGAAGAAGGTCAAGAAGTACATCGACCACAAGGATTTCGTGCCGGCTGTAAGTTGATTGCACAGTTTATTAAGAGTGCCATAGAAATGGATAAATAACATAAACAGTCTTTAAACATATTTTTAAGGGGTAAAAGACTTGCTACAGCGCAAAAAAATATGAAAACTGAACTACAGTATCTAAAGGATTAAAACATTTTAGTAGTTTTTGTATTTAAAAATATTGAATAATTATGTGAAAAAAGGATTTTGTTTTGCAATAGTTTATATCTGGTTAAATATAACAATAAACTAGTCTTTAATCGAAGAACTTATAAAAATGTGATGGCAATTAAAATTTTGGTTTCGAGTTTTGAAAAAAAAAATCTTTGATATATAAGATTAAATTTTTATCAAAAAATATCTTACGATTAAAGACTACATATTTATGTATGCCTTTCAAATTTTGTTTGAATCAGCTTGAAATTAAGAACGTTCTATCATATAGTTTTATTTTTAAAATATTAACAAAAAATTAAAATTCAAAGTAGGGATAACCACTTAAGTGTTTTCGAACCTCTAACCTCTCTTTCAGAAATTCGAGAAGGTATCCAAGGTGGCCAAGTCGATGAGCATGTGGGTGATCTCCATGGACAAGTTCTCCAAGGTGTACAAGGTTGTGGAGCCGAAGATCAAGCGCAAGGAGGCGGCCGAGGCGGAGCTGAAGGAGGTGATGACGGTGCTGCGGCAGAAGCAGAAGGAGCTGGCGGCAGTGGAGGCCAAGATCCAGGGACTGCGCGACAGTTTGGAGGAGAAGCAGCGCGAGTTCCAGGTGATCCAGGACAATGTGGATCTGACCTACGGCCGGATCAATCGGGCCGGTCGCCTGACCTCTGCCCTCTCCGACGAGCAGGTGCGCTGGCGGGAAACGGTGAAGAACCTGACAGCGGATTTGGCCTGTGTGCCGGGTGATGTCCTGGTGGCGGCCGCCTGTGTGGCCTATTTGGGTGCCTTCTCGCACGCCTATCGCAGGGACATGAGTGCTTTGTGGGTGACCAAGTGCCAGGAGCACAAGATACCCTCCAGTGCCGAGTTCAATCTGCTCAAGGTCTTGGGCGATCCGTACGAGATGCGCCAGTGGAACGTGGACGGGCTGCCCAAGGACAACATATCCATCGAGAATGGTATCTATGCCACGAGGGCTCTCCGCTGGGCCCTGATGATCGATCCGCAGGAGCAGGCCAATCGCTGGATCCGCAACATGGAGCGGGCTAACAATCTGCAGGTGATCAAGATGACCGACCAGTCCATGATGCGGGTGCTGGAGAACAGCGTGCGCCAGGGATACCCGGTGCTGCTCGAGGAGATCAACGAGACCATCGACCCCAGTCTGCGGCCCATCCTCCAGCGGGAGACGTACCGCTTCGAGGGTCGCGTCTACCTGAAACTGGGCGACATGGTCATCGACTATGACGACAACTTCAAGCTCTACATGACCACCAAGCTGCCCAATCCCCACTACTTGCCCGAGGTGTGCATCAACGTGACCCTGGTCAACTTCCTGGTCACCGAGAGCGGTCTCGAGGATCAGCTGCTGGCGTGAGTAGATCCACTATAATCCATAAATATTAAATTAGAGTTTTCGTAATGCGAACTGAAAACTCGATTTGTTGGCAATGGAGAGTAGGAATATTTTCCGAGTCCAACAAACTTAGTCAATCTAGTTTTATTACCATTACAGAGAAGGATTAGTTTGTATCACTTAATCTCTTTAAGCCTAATGGTGTTTCCAATTGTGAAAGTTTTACTGATTCTAAAAAACCTGCACAGAAAGAAAAAATTAATTAGTTATTTTTTTTGCTTTTTAAGAAAATTCCTTAACAAATAAACCAACCAACAGAAATTAAAAGAGTATCAAATTAAAAGAGTTTTCAATGACAATTCAATAATTTTAATAAATTGATAAAAAAAAAAAAAATAAATAAATAAATTAAAAAAAAAAAATTTTAAATCCTGTGATTTCAAATACCATTTCTTTTAGGGACATTGTGGCCATCGAGCTGCCCGCCATGGAAATCCAGCGTAACGATCTGGTGGTCAAGATCAACTCGGACAAGCAACAACTACTGGCGCTGGAGGACAAGGTGCTGAAGCTGCTCTTCAACTCCGAGGGCAACATCCTCGATGACGAGGAGCTGGTGGAGACGCTCAATGACGCCAAGGTGGGTTTCAATGGGATGAAAACTTAATCTTGGTATTGAATTGAATATTGAATTTACACAGGAAACATCGCTGATTATTGCCGCCCGATTGATTGACACCGAGGAGACGGAGAAGGTGATAACCGCGTCGCGGGAACGCTACCGCATCCTGGCCTCCCGCGGGGCCATCCTCTACTTTGTGGTGGCGGGTCTGGCCGAGATCGATCCGATGTACCAGTACAGCCTGAAGTACTTCACACAGGTCTTCTGCAATGTGCTGCGCTTGGAGCATCCGCCGCTGGCCGTGGACCTGCGCATTTCCACCCTGATGGTGGACGAACTGAAGGCCATCTTTGACAATATCTCACGTGGTCTGTTCGAGAACCACAAGATCATCTTCAGCTTCCTGCTGGCGTTATCGGTGGAGCGGCAGGAGGGACGGGTGTCCGAGGAGGAGTTCCTCTTCCTCACCCGCGGTCCCGTGGGCAACATTCGGCCCAAGAAGCAGCCGGACCACATCAAGATGAGCCAGGCGGAGTGGGAAGCGTGCATCTTCCTAGAGGATAACTTCGGCACCTTCTTTGGCGGCTTCACCAGCGAGCTGGACAAACCCTTCTTCATCCAGATGCAGGAGAACAAGGAGGTCTTCGACTTTGCCAAAAACAACCAGCCTCCCACGGATAAGTGGAACAAGCGTCTAAGGATCTTCCACAAGCTCATGTTCATCGCCGCCTTCCGCAAACCGCGTTTCCTGCTCAACGTGGTCTGCTACCTCCAGTCCACAGTGGGCAAGTACTTCACCGAGGCCTCCGGCGGCACCCAGTTGAGCGCTGTGTAAGATCCTCTACTCTGGTTTCCACATAGTTACATTTTTTTTATTTTTATTTATGAGTTCGATCCCTATCCTAGTGGTAAAAGATTTTCTAATATTTAAGGCAGTAGTCACCTGAACATTGTTTTTGTTGCTTATATATTTGTGAGTTTACTATCCTAGTCTTATCACAAATTTGTATATTTAAGGCACTTGTCACAAAACACCAATTCTTTGTTTCTGTTCCTTCTGAATAATTTTTTTTTTAATATTTGTGAGATCGATGACTGCCCTGTTGCTCTCGAAAATTATTCTATCTAAGCCACTAGTAACAAAACAGTACTTAATAACATATTCTTAAAATAACATTTGTTTTCTTAACCTGGCATTTCCTGGACTCTATTGCATAGTTTCATATCGAATAATAAAAAAAAAATGTTCGGTAAAAATATTTATTTATGAATTTAAGCAATAATCCTGTTCATGGTTTTTTCCTCCTAAACTTAATTACTATTACTTACTTACTATTACTATTACTATTACTAATTACTATTACTAATTACTATGTTGCATATTTTCATATCACATTGTCTTCTTCTTTTTGTACATTTTATTTATTTATTTATTTATTTAACATCAACTCCTGTTACTCTCTATTTTCTTATTATTTTAATATTATTTTATTTATGAGTTCAACGGTTATTTCTTGAATTTAATTACTATTACTTTGTTGCATAGTTTAATATCATATACTCAATATGTTTGGTTGTAAATATAATTTATACAGTATATATTTATTTTACAATTTGAAAATGTTGTATATTTCGTCACCAGCTACTTGGACACCTCGGCGGTGACGCCGCTAATCTTTGTGCTGTCCACCGGCTCGGACCCGATGTCGGGCTTCCTGAAGTTCACCACCCAGATGGAGTTCACCGACAAGTACTACTCCATCTCGCTGGGCCAGGGGCAGGGTCCGCTGGCGGAGAACCTGATCGAGAAGAGCCTGCGACTGGGCCACTGGGTGTTCCTGCAGAACTGCCACCTGGCCACCTCGTTCATGCAGACGCTGGAGTCGATTGTGCGCAACCTGACGCTGGGCATTACGAAGGCGCATCCGGACTTCCGGCTCTACCTCTCCTCTATGCCCATCCAGACGTTCCCGATCAGTGTGCTGCAGAACTCGGTGAAGATCACCAATGAGCCGCCCAAGGGCATCAAGGCGAATGTCCTTGGGGCGATGACGGACCTGAAGCCGGACTTCTTCGAGCAGCACATCCAGAATGGCCACTGGCGGGCCATCGTCTTTGGGCTGTGCATGTTCCATGCGGTTCTGCTGGAGCGCCGCAAGTTCGGTCCACTGGGCTGGAACATTACGTACGAGTTTAGCGAAAGCGATCGCGAGTGCGGATTGAAGACGCTCGATTTCTTCATCGATCGCCAGGTGCTCGACGAGATCCCGTGGGAGGCGATACTCTATATCAACGGCGACATCACCTGGGGCGGCCGGGTGACGGACTACTGGGACCTGCGCTGCCTGCGCACCATCCTGACCATCTTCTCCTCGAAGCGGATCATCCAGCCGGAATACAAGTACTGCCGCGGCGACAGCTACTATCGCGATCCACGCAAGAAGACGCTGCTCGAGTACACGGCTTATGTGCAGGGATTCCCGGTGCTGGAGGATCCCGAGATATTCGGCATGAACCAGAACGCCAACATCGTCTTCCAGACCAAGGAGACGGCCTTCTTCATCAGCACGCTGCTCCTGGGCCAGCCGAGATCCGCCGCCGACGAGGGCCAGGCCGCCGAGAACGAGATCTGCCAGCAGACGATCACCCGCATCCAAAAAGCCCTGGCCACCAAAATCAAACGGGAGCCCATCCACGACACACTCTCGATGGTAGGTTATAACAAAGGATTCATATTAGGAGATTAACTTAGATTACATTTAACTTAGTAGCTTAAAAATAGGTTTTAATGCAAGATAGCTATTTCAATATCACTTGGAAAATCATCACATTTAATCATATCATATCCTTTCTTTTTTCATTTTTTTTTTTTAATTATAATTATAATTTTTTTTTTTTTTTTGCTCAAAAAATAATCTATTATTTTGTGATTTTTAAAATCAAATTTGTAATACACTTACCTTACCGCTTTGCCAGCTGGACTCCAAGGGTCAGGTGCCATCGTTGACCATTGTGCTGATGCAGGAGATCGACCGCTTCAACATCGCACTGGGCATCATCCACGACAGCATGACGAACCTGTCCAAGGCCATCAAGGGCCTGGTGGTGATGTCCGAGGAGCTGGAGAACGTGTTCAAGGCGCTGCTGTCCAACCAGGTGCCCGCCTCCTGGGCGAAGCGCTGCTTTCTCTCGATCAAGCCGCTGCCCAGCTACATCGCCGACTTCCAGCGGCGCATCGACTTCATCCAGCAGTGGGCGGAGAACGGAGCACCGCGCTCCTACTGGATCAGTGGCTTCTTCTTTCCGCAGTCCTTCCTCACCGGCGTCCTGCAGACCTACGCCCGCCGGCGAGTCCTGCCCATCGACTCGCTCAAGATCGACTTCGATGTGTTCGAGAAGGAGCTGATCCAGCAGGATTTCTTCGAGATGCACATGAACGACATGAATGTGAGTATTTAATGAGTCATTAATAATTCATCAGGAAAATGCCACAGATTCGGATATACCACACTGAAAATAATTCGTAGGTAAAACAGATTATTTTGGAATGCAAATAAGGGTAATAATAATAAGGGAATGATCTATTTTCCGATACACAAAGCAAACTGAAAATAAATATTAAGTAAAATATATTTGGAATGTATATTGAAGTAAAAAAATTTTTATTTTAATTTTTATGTTTTGAAAGTTGCTATAAGAATATTCTTTTAAATTTGTACATTTGAGAGTATTTTAGATACCTATATGAATATTTTTTTAAATTTGTATATTATATTAAGATTATTTTAGATTTGAGAACCTGTTTCTAAAAACTAACTGTTCTCGAAACTATAAAAAAAAAAAATGCTTTACATTTATTGTTTCTAGACCACAGACCTTTTTTTTACATTAAAAAAGGGCTTAATAATTAGTAACATATTAATGTTTTCACCATATCATATTAATAAATACACTTCTGTGACACATATAATATTTGATTGGGAGTTTTCTAAGTAGACTTACGTTTCGCCACGCCTTCCAGGACCAAAAGCTGTATGGCAACCTGCAGGAAAGCACGGATGCGGTCATCAATGTGCACGGCATCTTCATCGAGGCGGCTCGCTGGGATCTGAGCCGCGGCGGTCTGTGCGATGCCAACTTCGGGGAGCTATTCTGCCGGATGCCGGTGGTGCGGTTCAAGCCCTGCCTGGAGATTTCGTCGGTGGTGCGGTACGAGGCGCCCCTCTACAAGACGCAGCAGCGATCCGGCGTCCTTTCCACCACGGGTCATTCGACCAACTTCATCCTGGCCGTCCTTTTGCGCAGTCACCACGACCCGGAGTTTTGGATAATGCGCGGTACAGCTCTGGTCTCGGCGGTATTGGAAAATATCTGTTAATACTTACACGATGAGATGAGGATCGGTGGGTTTTGGATATTATTTCGAAATTTTTTTTTTATTGCTGCATACTTCAAGCCGTCTTTATTTCGTTACTTGTGTTCGGGTTTTGTTAGCAAAGGTGTACAATACATATTGTGTGTGTGTATGGCTTAGTTAACTAGTTAGCTTAAGGTCAAGATTTGTGAACTTGAGTATAATACAAAGCAGTGTGTTTTTGAAATCCCTAGAGATATCTTTGATTAACTACTTTCAGAAATGTCTAGCGATTTTACAAACACATTGTTTTGTAAGTAGTTCCGATTTTGTGCATTCGTTTTTCTTTGTATTGGTATCAAAAGCAACTTTACACATACGTAAGACTAATTTATTTTGACAAGGCAAATTCAGGGGTAAAGTAGTGCTCAAAATGCGAGCTAGTTATGGCAAAAATTGACAAAGTCTTCATTATATATCTGACAAAATGTTCTTAAGCCTATAAGCATATATATATATTTTGTAGACAGCTCTATGGTTTGTTCGTATATACAATGCACTTTTAGAAACTGTTTTTAATGTTCTCATTCAGTATTATCAAATCTACTTTGGAATTCTAGACCCTGCTTACACACACACACACACACACACACATACTGAGAGAAACACACTCGCAGACACAATTATATGCATTCTATTTACAATTCCTTTCGTTTTAAGTTTCTGTTTAAGTTTAAGTTTCTGTTTCAGTTTAAGTTTCAATTTAAGGTTTAGTTTCAGTTTAAGTTTCGGTTGTGTCACAGTCTATAGCATGTCGCATATCAATCAAAAGGTGGACAGACAAAAAACAGATAAGGCAAATCTAACTAAATGACTAATTGACAAACACTGACAACACTTGATAGATAGACAAGGGAATGTGGTGACTGCAGGCAATGCAGCTTGTTTTTTTTTTGTTTTTTTTTAATTTGCTTGGATTTTAGTTATTTTGTTCGCCTTTTCTAAGTACTAATACTGCCGTTCTCGACTCCAATTGGTGTGGAAGGTGTGGATTTCGAATTGGATTTGGAAACGTGGAAATGTGGCTTAGGGGCTAGGGGTTACGGGTTACGGGTTACAGGTTACTGGTTAACAGGTTATAGATATATAGAGGTTTGGTCTTTTTCGTTTGTTAATCGCATAAATGGAATGCTAAATTAGTTAGAGAACTTATGCACTAATTATTGCTGGACATTGTCTCTCCTCAACTTTAAGTACTTAGTCACTAAATATACAAATTAGCTAAACAATGCGAAAAAAAAATTAATTTAAACAAAAAAAAATGGGTGTAAATTGAATTATGGATAGACTGTCGTACAACACGTTCCGCAAAATCGTTCATTAGGAAGCACAACTCGGTGGACGGCGCTGCTGGCTGTCTACAATTTCTTGCTGTCCATATCGATGCGAAGGTCGGGCAGCGAACCGCGCGTCTGCAGCAGGCTCCGCTTCTCCGGATCCTTGACCTTCTTGGGCTTGGGTCGGTTCGTCTTCGTATAGCGATTGATCACGCCATCCGTCTCGTCCATCATGCGAAGGATGAGCGCCTGGTCGGAGGAGTCCAGCGGCGCTATCGATATGTCGCGCACCGCTCTGAACTTGCCGCAATTGTTCAGATGCTCGTTCTCCAGGCGGAAAAAGTTCCAAACAAAGCGACTGCATGAAGTGTAATCAATTGCAATTAACTGGGACAGGTCAGGTTACTCGAATGAGCATCCACCAACTCACCGGAACACCTCCAGGATGCCTGTGATGGAGGTCATTATGTCGCCGCTCACGATCTTCATCTCGGTGAGGTAGAAAGACAGCGCCCAAATAAAGCGCAGCGCCAGATCTTCCACAATGGCAAAGTAGTAGAAACCCTAAAAGGGTAAATCGAAATTAGGGATCAAACTTTAGTTTAAAAGGGCTTATAAAAAAGCGGTAACAAAACAGGTGCTGTTTTATGTATAAAATCATAGTAATTTTTAAATGTTAACTAACCGTCGACGAGTAGACGACTTCCTCGCGCAGGAAAGTATTCTCGCCGGCATTCTTGTCGAACAGACCCCAATCCATCTTGATGTCCCAGGTGTAGGCATAGCACGAGGACACAATCGAGGCGATGATCCACAACCAGGTATAGGGATTGTCGAAGGTGCTGGCATAGTTCGCTGAAATCACAGACAACAATAAAACCATTTAAATATATATATATACAATTTAAAGTTACGAATGAACACTTACGACTGTGAAAGCTCTTGAGGGTGGCGAAGATCACTACCAGGAAGGTGGTTGAGTATTTGCCGGCGTTGACCAAATGGGGAAAGGCCTCCCGCGAATCGCGATATCGCCGCAGGCATTGTGCGAATCGAAACCAAGCGGGCAGACAATTGACAATTGGCCGTATAATGAAGTCCTTCTCCATGCAAATGGAGGCATCCCTCGCCTCCGTCCAGTTGCCGTTGGTGAAGTAGAAACAGATGAGATACTCAAAGTCCAGGATGGCGGTGGCCAGCGAGTTCAGCTGATCGCCCAGCCAGAAGTCGGCGAAGCCCACATGGAAGAACGGGGCGGACAGGCAGCGACCCGTGATGCGCCACAGCCAGAAGCGAGCGTCGTGATGGAGCACATGGAACGGATTGGCCAGGAACAGCACCATGATCAGCGTCAGCGTAAGCGGATTGATGAACGCCGGTATGGCCAAACTGGCGCTGTACAGGAAACTCAGCATGCTGAGCGTCCACACGACACCGAAAATGGCCGCCAGCTCCATGAGATGCTGCTCGGATAGATGATTGCGCGGATCCAGCTCGAAGATGAGCACATGATTGACGCCCGACGACCGCCAGCCGTAGATGTTGACGCCGATCAGGAAGATGAACTCGATGATGAGCAGCGGTCCGCGGTACAGGCGGAACGTCACCTTCAGATTCTCGCCGCTGATCTCGTGGAAGATGGCCGACAGCACCACCACAATGCCCAGCACTATGAAGCTGCCGGAGAAGAGGCCCACCTTGAAGGTCGTCCACGGACTCTGCTGCTCGCCCAGCGGCGGCACTCGCAGCCGCTTCATGGCCCGCTGCCGATCGCCGCCCTCCAGTTCGCCGGTGACCGTCGTCTCCGTCTCATTGATGATGTTGTCGATGTCCTTGTTGGTGAAGAAGTGCGACGCCTCCACGTACTCCTGCCGCCACTTGGCGCCGGTATCAACGCGTAGAAGCTATACAAATGTAATGTTTTATTAGTTAAAGGACATGAAACTTTCAGTAAATTAAAACAAAAGATGTCCTATGCCTCACTACTATTATTTTAACCGCAGCTGTACTTTAAGATATTCCTTTTTTATTTTTTTTTAGATAAAGATATTGTTTTAATAAAATGTCATTTTCCCGATAAAAAATCATCCATTACAAGACTATTTAAAATACGACGATTGCTTTCAATTTATTTTGAAATTATTTGTGACTTGCCAAAGTATCAACTAAACTATTCCAAAATGTATCCGAAACATATCTTATCTTGTTAGAATGAATGATTCACTCATATTTTATGGTGGCAAGCGAAAAGCACTTAATTGAAAAGCTCTAACTTGTGCAACCCGAAGAATACAATTCTTTACTGGCGATAAGGCTGACTTATTTGTAACCAACTTTTCGCCCGAAAACCCTACAATAAATTTATATTATTTATTCATCAGACAAAATCAAGTTGTTCTGCGCCGCAGACTAGACATAATCCCCCCAAAGATCTTGACTGGGTCAAGGTCAAGGTTCAGCGATGCCTCTGCGGTGGCCATAAATTAGACTCACTTTATCGTGCTTCTTGAGTATTTTGCGAAAGCCGGTGTGATTGAGGTTCTGATAGTTCTGCAGGAGGATCAGACTCAGATAAAACTCGCTAAAGGCCAACTTCAGTTCGCGGGCCTTGCGATCGGGCAGTGCGGCATGCCGCTTCTGACCCTTGGACTTCTTGGCACTCCGCTCCGACTCCTCGATGGAGGTCTTCAGCTCGGCATTCAGGGTGGCAAACTTGCGCGTGGCCTCCGCCAGCTTCTCCGAGTAGAATGTGTTGATCTTCTTTAGCTCCTTGTCGCAGAAGTGAAAGAAGTTCTCATCGAAGTTGGCAAAATGCCGCTTCAGCACATCATCCTCGACGCTTTCCACCGATGGCGCCTCCTCCACGGCCAAATACAGCATGGCCTTCATTTCCTATGGAACAAATCAAATTGGATTGTTACTCCGGTTTTTCTTTTTTTTTTATGTTTGTCCAAACTCACCTCATAGTTGATGTATTGCTTGCGCCACTCGGGCGTTATGTGCGCCGACAGGTGCTCGGCGAACTTCATGGCTGCCTATTCTAGAGCTTGAGCTCAGTCCAGTCCAGTCCAGATCGGATCCGTTCCGTTGATCGGCGCTGCACTGAAGCGCGTCTAAAAACGATAAAATGTTAGATTTGTTAAGGGCACTTCCTGGTATAAAATAGTATTGCTTAAAGCTAGACTTTAAGTAGCCGTATTAGGGTTAAAAATTTGATAGTACCTAAGAGTTTCTTTAAATTGCTTTAAACATTCGTATGTATAATAAAGACTAAAGAATTTATAAGCTTATAATAAACATGAATAATTACAGAAAACTATTTAATGCCCTGTATTAAAGACTTACTTGAATAAATATATTTTATGAATTGTTTTATACATGAATTATATATAAATATTTTTTTTTTTTAATATGATAATATGTTTTTTAATTGCTTTAAATATTTGTATGCATAATAAAAGCAACAAATTAACAAACTAATAATAAGCATGAATAATTTAATTTAAATTTACTTGAATAAATATATTTTATGCCTTGTTCTTGACATAAATAATAAGTTCCCTCTGCGTTTTTTAAAGTTGTAAGTATCCGTAACGAGTTTTTAAAAAGTTTATCACAAACATGATTAATAACAAAAAAGTAGGTAAAAACACATACTTCTTGAATAATATATATGAATAAATATAAATATATATAAAATATTGTTTAGTATAGTAATCTTTGTATGGCTTTTAGGCACAGAAATGAATGTTTATTCATTAAAAACGTGCAACAAGTGAGATTAAGATTAGGACAGATGTATTTTAGAATGATTCACAGTCCACATACAATTGTTTTGGCTGTGAGTGAGTAATGCGAGGGCCTTAAAGTCAAGTCAGCAGTTTTTGGAAACAGAATCAACCAATGTGTACGTTAAGTCAGAACCCATTGCTCAGCTTTCTCCCAGTTGCGAGGGTAATTTAACGGATGGTTGACTGGATTAATGGATAATGGCTCAAATCAATGCGTTAGCTAATCGGGCGTATTAACCAAAACACATAATATACGACTACCAGCGATCGTAAATCGCACGCTGGTGGCTGTTTTTTTTTTTTCCATAACTGATAAGCGAGAGCCCCGAAAAAAGAGCATACAAATATATGTACACACGTATAAGCTTTAATACAACAATTATTGGGGTCTGTGCCAGCCGACTCTTTACAGAATATATGTATTTATTATTAACGGGGCCCGCATAACGAGTTAAGCAAATTGGAAAATTTTTGTCGCCCGTTCAAACAGCACCGTATAAGATACAAATACAGATACAGATAGATATAGAGATAGAGATGCGAGTGTGTTTTAATCAATTGCACAAATATTTGCGTCGCCAACTGTTGCTGTGGCATTTGTTGCTATTTATGCCTCTTATTTCACGGCTGCCCTTCCTTGTTTTCTGGGCGTAACTTCCGCCACAATCCCTTTTCTATACAGAGAAAATAAAAGTATATTAAAAAGAGGTCTTATTTAGATGTTAAAAAAAAAAAACTATATAATTTTGGCTATTTTCACTTGAGATGCATTTCGTAATCTTCATAATTATATTTTATTTTTGATTAGATACATCATTGACACTCTTATAAAGATAGTGGCCGAAGTTATTCATAAACACGACTATCTTAATCTCGTTATTAGGTTGTCAATTTATAAAACAAAAACGAATACTATTTTTAACGTTTAAAGTATATACATTTGTATTTCAAACTTGTTATGGTGCAATACAATTTAAATATATTATTAAGTCGCCTCAATGGATGTCATTTAGTGGTTATTGACTACTGTAATTATATTATTATTTTCGATCGATTTAATTTTTTAACCATTTCATTTTTAACAGATATTCTCTTGGTTTTTTTCCTCTGCATAAACATTTCCATAGTTTATTGCTATTTCCACCGGCAGAACTTAGAAGAGTGGCCAATACCTGGGCGATAATTGATGGCAGGGTCAGTGAAGGGGGTGGTCAAAGGGGGTGGGACCGACTGGCGGTCAATTAACGTCAACAGTACAGCCTAAATATAGATCAGTTCGACGCGCTGATTGATTAGACCGTATACCGTAGACCGTAGACCGTAGACCCGTATCGAACACAATAGCCATCGTAATGGATTAGAGGTGTTGTCTCTGATCGATCGACATCGGCGGCGGATCTGAAGCTTAAGTTATCCCGCCCATCTCAGAGTTCAGTCCTTATCGCCTTATCGCCGCCGTTCACAGATTTCTCATCTGCGGTTTAATTGGCACTGATAACTGATAACAAAACGGCTGCGACTGGGCTTATAGAACATGTGCTAGTGCCGACTAAAACCACAGCACCAACAGCTGACACACAAAGCTTCATAATCGCTGAGACATCGCCGGAACACATCGACGTCGTCGGCACACGTAGACGCAAATATTTGATCAATAAAACAAGAATGGAGGGCACGTTTGGGGGGACCGAAGCTGGAAATACCCTCGCCCACAAACTATTGCTATGTAAGCTATGGTATGACAGATCTAATAACAATGAATAACCACAATCTGCAGATTATCTAAAAACACAATAACTTTTCAGATCTTTTATAAAAGATCACAAGGTAGACTACTCATTGCTAGCAGAGAAAAGAAAAGAAAACAATGAGAGAAAGAAACAAAGAAATGTATAGGAGAATAGTCAGTTAATTACTTATCATTCAGAGAAGAAATTAAGAACTTTAAAATTTAAAATTTAATTAATAAACAACAAAGCCAAATCACCAATTTATCACTTCTTACTCAGAGTTATAAAGATCTTTATTATTTTCATATTCACTAAATCACTGCTAGCTCAGAACTTTTAAGAGTATGTGAAAAGTTAAACACTCTGGAATTAATTAAGAACCAAAATAGAACACTTTTGCATTGTTAAATTCCAAAATAAGCAAGCCAATGTCAAGTTACTTGGGTTGGCAAGATCATTATTTTGGCTGATATTTACTTAATCACTTTTTTATCAGAAATGTAATGAACGGTAGATATGAAACTTTTAGGGAATATTTACAAACTCAAATAGAACACCTTTGCATTATTGAAAATGCAAAATAAGTAAGCCAATTTAATTGGGCTAAGACGATCATTAGTTTTAGGCTCATATTGCAAACCTCTTCAAGAAATGATGTTACCCTTTAAAACGAATGAAGACTGTGTTGTGGCGATTTTGAAGCTGGGATATACTGAACTGAATCGTTTTGATGTTGGCTTTTTGATTTTTGTTGATTTCCGCCCGAAGGGGGCGGAGGCAGCGAGGTGGGCGGGACCGCAGAGCGCAGCTCGCTCGTCAATTTGTCTTGTGATTTATCGCCTTCCTTACAATTGCCTCAAACGAGGCGCAATTGGAGGCAACCAGTCCGAGATTATCGGATGTTTCGTGGAGGGTTTTTGTGTTTTTGGGGAGGATTTGGGGTGTTGGAGGGAAATTGCATTTCAATTACATAAAATTACATACATACGCTGCACCGCGCTGCAGTTTGCACTTGCAATTCGTCTCCGAATGGGGGCTTCTATTTTAGCATCTCAGGCTGTTCCCACACTGGCCATTACTAATTGTCAACAGTCGCTGATTTGTTAAGTACACTGCTTATCACCGAATAGCGCGCATATCAATAAAATTCTGGCGACGGACGAAATGCGAGGGCCAAACAACAACAAAGAACTGAACGCACCACAAAAACTAAAAACATACCAAGTATTGGTAAACGCGCGCGCGTTTGCTGGGGCGCCAGTGTTGCACAGCGGCCAAACAGTGCTTTTAGTCACGATCACCGTTAAAGTTTATTGAATATATGAAGAGATTTTAAATGAACATTAATTGTAATAAATAAGCGTGAACATAAAATAATTTCTAGGCAAAAACAGAAAAAATGTGTTAAAATAAAAATGTTTAGAATGAATTTGTAAATTTTTTGGTCCTATTTTGTTTTGCAATTTTTGTAACCATATTATATTGCCTAATGCATAATTAATTAATTTAAAATCTAAACAAGAGTTAAACAAATACAATTGTATTCGCCTCTTAGGCAAATGCCAGTTAAGAAATTAAAACGAAGAATTTTCCGCCCTCAAAAAAATTATCAAATTATCAGTAGCAAGTTTCTTGTCTTCAAATATTATTAAAGCTAAGCTTTTAATAATAAACAAAGAAAACGTCCGTTTGAAATCTATTTCAAGATTATTATCAATTTCGGCCCACTGTAATTTGCAGCGCATTTGGTATTTTCTTAGTATTTCACCACCTTACTGCACTGGTATATTTTAGCATTTTCGGTTCGGTCACACTGCCACTGACGCAAACAAATTGCGATTCTGTATTGTACTACCATAAAATCAAATTATTTCGCCACAACCGAGGACCCGATCCGATCCGATCCCTGCAGTCCATGAGTGCGAACCTGAAGAACATCAAGCTGGGCCACTTCGGTGGCGGCGGATCCGGCGGAGCGCCCAGTTCCAGTTCCAGTGGCTTTGGCATCTCGGCGTCGTCCGGAGGCGCTGGCAAACTGCCCACAAATGGCACAGGCGGCGGGAAATCCGCTCCGACGAGCTCCTTTGCCGAGGCCGAGGTGCTGGCCACGCCCGGAGGCGTCGTTATACCCATAATCCGCACCCGGGATGTGGCCAAGTTGCTGCCCACCATTGCCACCGCTCTGCAGCGTCCGGCGGATGATCATTTGGCCGCCGAGGATTTAGACGCAGTGCAGCTGGAGCTGGAGCAGATGCTCTCGAATGTGGCGCTGCGCACGCGTGTCCTAAAGACGGAGTACGACAGCTTGGACAAAGATGAGAAGCGCCAGGATCGCCGGAAACTGGACCGTGTGCCCGGATCGCCACCTTGCCCGGCCAGTATGCTAAACGGCTTGCTCGGCATCGGCAGCAACTCCTCCACGAGCCTGGGCAGTCCCCTGGGCGGCGGCGGCGGTGGAGGCGCCTCCTCCTCAAGCCAATCCAAGCGAAAGCGCGACGAACCGACGGGCGTGCGCAAAAAGCACTCCTCGATGACCATTCTCAAGCAGCAGCAGGGCGTGGCCAGCAGCTCTGCGAAGCATCAGGCCAAGAACAGCCCCCTGACCGTGCACACCGACGACAGCATGGATTACCTGCCCAATCTGGTGGCGGCCAACGCCTCTGGCTCCGTGCTGCCGCACCACCAGCCAGTGCCCCAGCTGCCCAAGGTGGCGGTGCCCAAGAATGACACGCCCAACAAGTTCTGGCTGTCCGTCGAGCCCTACTGCATGCCCCTGACCAACGAGGACCTGCGTCTGATCGACGACCTGCTGGAGCAGTACCGTGGCCCGCTGGTGCCGCCAGTGCCCACGCTGGGTCCCCACTACTCCACGGTGTGGGCCCAGGAGGACATGAAGACCCTGCAGCCGGGCGGCACACGCCTCAAGTCGCACAACGCCAGCGGAATGCTGAAGAAGGCCGAGGGCATGGTGGAGGAGAGCATCACGGGTCCGCTGACCCAGCGCCTGGTGTCCGCCCTCATGGAGGAGTCCCTGATGACGCTGCCCAGCGAACAGGCAGCGGTGGGGGAGCACAGCAACAGCACCACGAGCAGCAGCAACGAGAACACCCACTCACTATCCTCATCCTCGGCAAATGCGGCGGCGGCGGTTGCATCCGGCAATTTCCGCTCTCTGGCCATGATGAAACACGGCGTGGGCATCGAGCAGCGCCTGAAGAAGACCCTCATCGAGAATGGTCTCATTGACGCCAGTGAGTTTGCGGCCCAGGAGGACGTGGACGAGGTGCTGCTGGAGATCAAGCGGGTCACGACCGAGATAAGCAGTATCTCGCAGTTCAACAGCGAGGAGCTCAAGCGACTCCGCTCCGCCGCCAGCGAGGAGATCAAACGGATCGCCATCAAGCGGAAATTGGACACGGTCGACCAGGAGATACTCGAGTGCTACAAGCGGATGCTGCAGTATCGGGCCAAGCGCAAGGGCCACACCATCGAGGAGAAACAGGAGATCCTGCGTCTGACCAACGAACAGCGCCTGCTGGCCGACCAGCTGGAGCGGATGCAGATGCATCTGCCATGCAGCAGCGGCGGCGGCGGCCCTTCTGGCTCCCTGCTCGAGCCCAAGATGTAGGACAGGACCCTGGCCTGGGGCTGGTGCCAGCTAATGGCCATGCATCAGGCAAAGAGGCAGGTCCGGGACGCTAGCCTCAAGCTGCAGTGTGTCTGAGTCTCCTCCGTCTTCTCCGTCTCGCTCCCTTTCATTTCGCCAGACTGTACATTAGCAAAGAGGTGTCCAAGGTGTGAATTGTGAGGAGAATGTGGCTAGGTGCTCAGTGGCATTAATAAGCCCAGCATAAAATCAGATTTCGGTTTTCCCCCACCCAAATCAAAAGCCATCTTCGGGACCGTCTAATAACTTCCCTACTCTGTATTCTTATCTTTGTCGCCAGACTGTACATTAACAAAGATATATATACCATATAGTATGTAGAGTTCGAGATTAATGTGGATTCAAATATTAAGATAAGATATTCAAAGTGGCGGGAAGTAACCTATGGTTAATTCTAAGCTCTGATCTTTTGTGGAAACCCCATTTATGCTATTTTATGACCTGAAATATCAAATATATATATTTTCATGAAAATATATATATATATATACTTCCATTCTCTTATGAAATTGCTAAAAATGGATTGCACATTTCCATATTCTATGGCTTAATACCAAATGCTAGCTTTGGCTTTGTATATAGAGATAGCATACATCCGATCTTATAATTTAATAAATTTATATTTGCACTAGAACCTTCAAGTACTAGAGTTACCCACAGATTACTATCCGTCTCCAGGAATCGAATGATTTTGTTTTTTGTTTTTGGTTGAGCCCACCCTATTTAACACTCCCAAATACGTACACTTTGTATAGCTTAAGTAATCGCGCGGCAATAAAGTTGTCACTATCGAGAGTAAACCGCAGTATTTTCCACCGTGGGAGTTGGGAGGAGAAGAACCACCGCACTGGGCGAACGTTACGCACGCTTTGAATTCGATCGTGTCAGCGGCACGGGCCAAGTGGACTCCAGCGGATCGAGCGGATGTGTGTGGTGTGGAGTGTGGAGAGTGTGGAGGCGCCTCCTCCACTGATCTTGTTTGCCCAACCGATAAGACGACGCAATCTCAAAGGCGGCAGCACCGGAGTGCGGCGGCTGCTAATTAAATCCAAACATGCGGGGGTCTTCGATCCGAGGATGCGCTTCCGGGGATCACCGTTTCGCTATCTTCGCCGCTAATCTCAAAGGTAAATATGTCGAAAAATAAGCTTTATTGCTTGTAGCAAAAGGCAGGGCAGTAGAATCTAAATCTAAATCCGTAACGCTAGTCTTCAGTGAACATCGCCGGTGGCTGTCTCCTCCTTAATTATGATATGAGTGTAAATGATAGGTTGTACTTCATGTGTGCTGCGGTGCAGTGGCCTGACTGGTGGATCCCTGCCAGTTTCTCCCGGATCCGATATCACAAACGCAGTCTATAGTAACTAGATTAGTGGGACTAGATGCATTCGAGCTAGTCACCCAAGACGGCAAACTCATAGGGATAGCTGGCCATCAGGTCGGAGCGACACGAGACCTGAATGGCCGACGCGTTGGCCTTGAGACGGAGATTTTGGTCGTTGGTGATGAGCATCACGTTCGGCACATGCTGCTGCAGCTGCAGGCAACAGTTGACGATGCTGTCGTCCGGGCAGTCCACTTCGATCAGGTGCTGCGCCGCCTCGATGGCCGATTGAGCTGCATCATGAGTAACGTACATAGGTGAATAACAGGGATCAGGCAAGTAAGTAAGTGATCAACTACCCACCTTGAATATCCAAACTCTCATCGAACTTTGTGTTCAAATAGCGTATGGCTCGCACGGCAACCAGTCGCTTCACATCGCGCTCGTCTTGATGCTGACCCTTGAGCTTGTCCAGCTCCTTGATGACCACATAGGGAATGTACAGCACACTGCCCACCGTTCCCGGCAGCACCACGTCGGTCAGACTCTCCACGAACTTGATGTTCTGCATGAGGACGTTTGTGTCCAGCACGAAGTACATGTGATCTTGAAGATGGGCGGGCAACTCCTCGCCGTCGGCGGCTTGACGAATGAGCGAAATGTCGTCCTCCTCGGGAGACTCAACCCCATTGAACTCGTTCTCCTTCAAGGCCACATCCTGAGCCTGCTTCTGAGGCTCATCTTCAGTGAACTCCTCCCATTCCATGGGCTCTGGACCCACCTCAACGGCCCTCGAGCTGTTAAATGCACTTGGACTTGCGCTGTTGGCTGCTGTTCCAGGCTGCTTCTTGTTACCCTGTTCGTTGGTCTTGACCACATCATTGTTGTTGGTCTCCTGGGCCTCTTGCTCTTGCTGCAGAAGGGTCCTCAACTGCGATAGACGTTGGTGGGCTAGGGAGATAGAGGATACATGTTATAAGGCTTATCATGGCATGTTTGCTATCCCTAGGAGTACCCACCACTTTGGGAATTGCCTGCTTTCAGGCGATTGCTGGCATCCACCAGGGCCATTGGCTTCTCCCAGGGATTGATTATGGACAAACGCCTTGGGGGTTTGCCCTGGATCCTTGTGCGCCCCACGAACGTTCTATGCGGTGGGGATTTGTCCAAGGGAATGGCCAAGGGAATGGCCAAAGGAATGGCCACTGGGGCCTCGGAGACACTTGCTCGGCGGCTGGGCACTGGAATCGGAGCATCAATCTCCGGTTGGCTAGATGTCGAGAATCTACGTGTGGGTCGCTTGGCATCCCGCTTCAAATTTGTTTGCAGCCGCTTCAGACGATCCTGAGCGGGCTGCCTTATGACTGAGGCGCGTGAAGGGTGTTTTAATTCGCTAGTTAGATGGCTGACATAGTAGTGTGCAGGGGGCAAGAACTCACCATTGGGCAGCCGCGAATTTCCCATAAGTTGTTTCCACTCGTTTTCTCCTAAAACATGGGAATTTTTTAGCTTTCCGCTTTTTTCGTTGCTGCACGACATGTTTCTTCCTTCAGCATTTAATTGTTTGTGATTGTATTCAGTGTGACCGCGGAATAATCCACCATTTATACCGCACCGTTTACATTTTTGTAAATGTACCATACAAATGTTTTGTTTTTAATTTTAAATTAAGAAATTATATTAGGGTATAAGTAATGGTGAGCAAGAACAACAGAATTAAATTATCCTCTACTGCTGGAATCTAAGTTGAACATGTGTAAAAAATTTACACAGTTTTTAGAACTTATCAAATTAATTTTCAATATATTAAGAAGCTGAAAATTTCAAGCTTAAGATTAGTAAAAATAATTTATATTAAATCACTAAAAATGTTTTGATTTGTATGCATTTGTATTTAAAAAAATGAGCAATGGAATATCCTAATTAAATGTTCTAAAAGTAATAACATGAACTCGTGCTCCCTCATTAATCATTTTTTTAGTCCTCTCTGGCATTTTTCAACGGCCAGGCCACGGTCACACTGCTCCGGTTTCGAATCTGTTAACCAGTTTTTGTTAAAAGCTTACTTAAGTAATTGGTAATCACCGCTTTTCGCAGCCACAACACAACTCGGCAGAATGATCAAGGTATGTAGGGTGCTGTAAATAATGGCCATATACCGATTACTTGGGAATTAGTGCAGACATAATGTCCGACTACCCGGTCGCCGGGTGCAAAGTCCAATTGGGATCTGAACTCGTGTCTTCGGGGGCCATAAATAACCGTATCCGTATCTGTCTCGCTTTCTGTAGCGATGCACCTTGAACCCTCCGAGCAATTAGCATTACTTTCTCGTTATAGGAGTTATACAATAACATAATGCCATCATAGCGGGGGAGGTTTATCTGGAAAGTGAACTGATAGTTCTGCAGAAGTTCTTGCCATCTGTTGCTTGCTTAAAATAAATAAATAAACCGGCGGTCAGTTGTTGAGTTTTGTCAGAGGTTGCGGATCCCTTTTGAGCTTTTTAACTGTAAAAACTATAGGTTCGACAAAAGTCCCGTCTTGAATATAATATTTTGTTTTTTTTTTTAAGAACCCTATTTTACAAAGAGAAAGTTTTATTTAAGAACTTTCAAATCTATTATTTTGAAAAATTGTTTTTTCTAGCTCTAGTTAATGTTTGTTTGCTTGTTTGATTCATAGAATGAATATATTCTATATATTCTGGTTCTAGTATTACAAAAATATGTTCATAATCAGCAAAAGTTACAAAGTTCACATTTTTCTTAACTGAAACAAAAAAAAAAACAATGTAGAAATCCCAAGTTAATTTAAAAGGAATAATAGGTTTTATGCTGATCTCAATAAATAATAGACTTATACAAAAAGACGCGCAAACTAAGGATTTGATTTGCCCCATAATAAAAAGCAATGATTAACCCCATAAATCCCCTTTAGAACGCAGTATCCCTGGTGACCGGAGGAGCCTCTGGACTGGGTCGCGCCACCGCCGAACGGCTGGCCAGGCAGGGCGCCAGCGTGGTCCTGGCCGATCTGCCCTCGTCCAAGGGCAACGAGGTGGCCAAGGAGCTGGGCGACAAGGTGGTCTTTGTGCCCGTGGACGTGACCTCCGAGAAGGATGTGAGCGCCGCCCTGCAGACGGCCAAGGACAAGTTCGGTCGGCTGGATCTGACGGTGAACTGTGCGGGCACCGCAACGGCGGTCAAGACCTACAACTTCAACAAGAACGCGGCCCACCGGCTGGAGGACTTCCAGCGGGTGATCAACATCAATACGGTGGGCACGTTCAATGTGATTCGCCTGTCGGCCGGTTTGATGGGTGCCAACGAGCCGAACCAGGATGGACAGCGTGGTGTGATCGTGAACACCGCCTCGGTGGCGGCCTTCGATGGCCAGATCGGACAGGCGGCCTACTCCGCCTCCAAGGCGGCCGTGGTGGGCATGACCCTGCCCATTGCCCGCGACCTGAGCACCCAGGGCATCCGGATCTGTACGATTGCACCGGGTCTGTTCAATACCCCCATGCTGGCTGCGCTGCCGGAGAAGGTGCGCACCTTCCTGGCCAAGTCCATACCGTTCCCACAGCGACTGGGCGAGCCCAGTGAGTACGCCCACCTGGTGCAGGCCATCTTCGAGAACCCGCTGCTCAACGGCGAGGTCATCCGCATCGATGGCGCCCTGCGCATGCAGCCCTAAATCTTCCCATTGAGAAGCATCATCCAGCAGTGGCTCGATCAGTTTGCATTTATCTATTGTCTAGTGGTTAAGCTGAAAAGTTCTATTACCTGTACCGAAATTATGTAATATTTGCTATTAAAAACACACACCCACATCTCACAATTCAAATTTTGGCGGCCCGTCTGCTTGCCGGTTTTCAACACTGTTTTTATGCCAGGCACTTAAAGGGTACCAAAGGGTATATATTGTGTGCAACAGGTGAAGCCTTTTCTTCTTGATAAAATGCTGTCAGAACAGCAACAAGCTTAATTTAAGAGTAATATAAAAAAAAATATATACAACACTAAAATTAATGCTCAACAATATTTAATTAGAAAGAGTTCTTCAAAAAAGAGCTTAGCAATCTTTAAAATTCAAGTTAATAGGGTATTTTTAAGTCAACCCACTTTTTCAGTTGACTGCTTTTTTCACGCAAATTGGCAGCTCCGTTTGCGATTGTAAACATTTAGACTGCAGATCGCTTTTGGCAAGATAATGCCGCCATATCAGCGGTGCGGCGAAATCGTATGGAAGTGGAAGAGGCAGGCGCGCACCCTTGCCTTCCAGTGCATCTTTTGCCAGGACAGCAGGACGACCACATTAAAGGATTTCAAGTTGCACCTGGATACGCAGCATCCGGAATTCTTCCCCAAAGAGAAGCCGAAGCAGAAGCCGCAGCAGGAGCAGGGGCAGGAGAAGGAGAAGGAGGTGGACAAAAATCCCCTTTTGGAACAAAGGACAATTCGTGGCAGAGATGAGGAGCCAGTGACCTCGGCCAAGGAAGAGGATCCCTTGGCAACACAGATCATAGAGCAGATTAAAACGGAGGAGTCTTCGCAAGAAGAGTTTCTGTCGGCTACAGACTCGGAATCGCAAGGAGACCAGGAGGAGGACACCCTGCTGGAATGGCCCGAAAGCGATGGCCAGGCGCAAACTGTGAGCTACCAACCATTTACTAAAGTAACAATACTCACATCACTTTTCTTCCCATTTTCAGGCCACCAAAATCACAGACTTGTCGCCATTTTGGATGCTGGAGCACCCCATCATGCTGGCCTTCATCAACCAGCTGGAGCAGAAGCCAGAGCTGTGGGACGTGGACATGGTGAGTTACCGGAAATCTTGGCGACGCAACAAGGCCTACGCGAAGATCGCCAATGGACTTAATGACCAATTTGAACTGAAACTGACGGCCCAGGAAATAATTTCGTACGTCAATCAGTTGAAAGATGCGTATGCGTGGGAGAAAAAACGTCTGGAGCAGTTTACGGAGCCAACAGCTTCCCCAAAGTGGTACTACGAGCGGCTTCACTTCCTGGCTAAGAGCCTGCGGCAAGATCGGTATGCCGAGGCGCTGACCGTGCCCTTCCTGAATCATGCCCAGAACCTGCAGCTCATCGAGCTATATCGGCAGTGCAGCGCCTGTTGGGACAAGCAGGACATCTCCTGCCGACTCCGTCGTGTGCGTCAGGCGGCCGAGGATCGGCTGCTGGAGCTAAGCCGCTCTGAACTGGAGATTCCGCTCGAGCCATCGCAGTTGCAGAATTTCATTCGGCGCCTGAGGTCCACTTACCACAAGGAAAAAGCGCGCCAACTGAAGTGCGAACGGGAGGGCAAGGAGTTCTGCCCCCGATCGCGCTACTACGAGAAATTGCAGTTCTTGGAGCAGCACATGGCGCCCTTGCAGTGCGACGTGTGCCAGATGGTGATGAACAGTGTGGACGGCTACAGGATCCATCGGGCCAATCACGATTACAGCCAGCCCTTTGCGTGTCCAACCTGCGGCAAGGGCTTTTATAACATCGCCAGTTGCAAAAGTCACTTGCGCAGGCACACTAAGGAATACCGTGTGAGCTGTGAGTATTGCGGCAAGCGGTTCGTTCACAAATCGGATCTGAAAATCCATCGGCGCTCGCATACCGGCGAACGACCCTATAGTTGTCACATCTGCGGCGTCCGCTTCAGCACCACCACCATTTTGAAGGGCCACCAGCGGCGGCACGAACAGCGGCCGGTGGCCAAGTGCCACATCTGCGGCAAGGGCTTCTTCGAGCGCAGCGCACTGCGGGACCACATCAACGGGCATCTGAACGTGCGCGATAAGGAGTGCGATGTGTGCCACAAGCTGTTCACCAGCGCCAGGTACCTAAGGCGGCACAAGGACATCCACGCCGAGCACAAGCAGTATCAGTGCAAGATCTGCGGCAAGGCATTCGCCCAGTACGAACCAATGAGGGCACACAGGAAGGCGCACGACCGAAAGAGAACTAAGGAGCAGGCGGAGCAGGACCCTCAATAAATAGCCAGCGTTTGAGAAGTGCTGCGGCTGATAAGTGGTGATGGGAAGTAGGTACTTGTACTTGAGTTCATATCTAGGCACTACTATTCTGTTTGTTTTTCTTATCGGGGCCCAGTCTCACTAATGCCCAGCTCCAGTCATTTGGCTTAAGTTCTACGAATAATGTATTGAATTCAACCTTTAAAACGTATATAAATTTCTTTAAAAAATTAAATATAACCATGAACAATATTTAAATACTTTAGTATAAATACTATACTATAGAGATTTATTTTCATCACTTTTTGCTTTACTGAAGTAGAGTATAAATGCTCAAATATAAAAATCTTCTTACCCTGCCCAAGTTTTAATTCAATTTTTTTTTAAACGACCAACTTTAATGCATTTGAAATTATAATTGGTCTTATATATATATTTAAAGCGGGCTAAGTTTCAGTCAAATGTTGGAAACTACCTATAATTCTTGTCTTAGATATATTTTAACTTGTAAACCAAAATGATCATTGTGGCACTATAAATATTTTACTTCCTAGCTATAAACCGTAGGAGTGCCTTTGCCATCGCTGTCGATAAGCTATATCTCCATGGGCGGCTGGTCAAGGCCCTGACTTGCTCCAGTTACCCACAAATTGCCAAAGTCCAAGCTGGCGGGGAACAGCAGCCACAGCAGAAGCCATTTGCCATTTGCTATTTACTGCCTACCCCAGTGTAAACAAAGCGATATGGATAATGGATATAGCATACATATATATATATATATATATATATATATTGTATGCATAGGAACTCCTACATTGCATTTCACACATTATCGCCATTTCTGTGACATCCACTTTTATTTATATGTACATATGTGTGCCGAGTGCTTTGGCATTTGTTTGGCTCTGGCTCCCCCCTTTTGGGTTATCTTATCGGGAGTGTCGGAGTGGCTAACATTGCGACTGCGACTGTGACTGCGACTGTGACTGGGTGACAATTAAAAATGCGATAAGCGGCCAGAGAATTCCAACCGCTCGCCCCAGCCAGTCAGTTGAAATTGGAGCTGCCTGCGAATTATCCACTATCCACAATCCATGACCGACTGATACTGCCGCTGGCGATACAACGTCATCGCAACACAAAACAAAAACCCAAAAGGAAGCCTATTGACCAAGTTAACAGTCATCATTGGCAGAAGAAGCCGAAGAAGTGTGGCTGCCGTAGTTGCAATTTCGGTTGCTCTTCTGTTGCTGCAACTTCTTTTGCGGGAACAACAACACTCTACTTGCCGGAAATCGGCACTTGACAAACGGAAGAGAGGTGGGTGTGAAAGTATGCCTCTCCATGAGATAGTTCAATAACTAAAAATCCTTTGTTGTTCTAAAGCATTCATTTTTTTTATAACTAGAAGTGCCCACTATCTTCACTCAAATTCAATTGGTCATCAACTAATTGTACCCGCACAGTTCTCCCGCTGACGTCACTGGAGAAGGAGGAGGATCAGCTGCCACTGCCGCTGCCGCTGACTTGGTCGCGCGCATACCGATAAACCCAACCAAGTGCAACGAATCAAGCTGGGCAGTTGAAGGGACCGCGATAAGCGGACCGAGCAAAAGCGATCCCAGCATCATGCAGACGACGACGACGACGACGGCGACAAATCAGCGGCCAGTAACGCCTGGCACTCCAGACTCGGCGCACATCGTGATCGGCGCCGCGGGACTTGTGGCACACGAGAGACGCCAGCCCGGAAAGAGCCTGATGAATTGCTTCCGTGACCGTTCCACGACCTCGTCGTCATCGTCATCGTCGCAGCAGGCGCAGCACGCTCAGCACGCCTACATGCGTGGCCACAGCGTCACCTCGGGCACTCTGTTCCGGCTGGAGGGCAATGGCGGCTCCAACAGTGCCTTGGACAAGGCGGCCAGACAGCAGGATGCGGGTCGTCCCGAGGCGGTTGTCCTGCTGCGCGAACTGAAGACCAAACCCAACAAACTGGCGCTGCTCAAGAGCAACAGCACCCGTGATCTGACCCGCCTCTTCCTGGACGATGCCACCAATACGGCCGTGCTGGTGTCCAACACCAGTCTGGATGTCTGCTCCTCGAACTCCAGCTCCGGCGGCAGTCCGGCGGTGGCCCGATCCAGGCTGGAGTGCTGCAGCAGCTGCGCGAGGCGGTGGCATGACCTCAAGCAGCGGGTGCACACGCTGGAGCAGGATCTGCTGGTCCAGACCACCTACGGCCAGGAGTTGGAGCAGAAAGTGGGCGAGATGAGTCGCCAACTGGGGGAGCTACTGCAGGAACGGGACAAGGAAAAGCAACGATCCACGGGAGGATCCGGATCCGGATCGGGATCGAAGCGTCATCCCCATTCGCATCCCACAGGCAGTCCAAATGTACGACCCTCACGGCTGGTGGCCTGGATGAATCTGTCCAACTGGTTCAAGAGCCGGCCCAGCGTGGAAACGTTGCGCGAACAGCGCATCTTCTTCGACGAGCCCTGCTTCGACACGGAACTGGAGTTGGTAATGAAGCACGACCAGCAGCGCACTGTGCCCCGGATCGTCGTCGACTGCTGCGATCTCATCGAGCAGAAGTACCGCCGCTCCACGCAGCCCATTGAGGGCATTTACCGGCAGTGCGGCGACTACAACAAGATCCAAACGCTGCGCTTCAGCATCGATGCCAACGACTATGACGCACTGCGTCAGCCGGATGTGGATATACACACGCTTACCGGGGTGCTGAAGCTCTTCCTGCGCGAAATCAAGAGTCCACTGGTCAGTGTCAACGAGGCCAAGACCTTCATTGGATCGCCCAATCAGTGGTGTAAGTTCGGCAGTCCCTCCCGCTATAAGGTTTCTATTTACTAATCGGTTTCGTACACACAGTGCTGACCGATCTCTCCGTGAAGCTGGACACCCTGAAAAGACTGATACGCTCGCTGCCCGAGAGCAATCGCGACACCATGGACTATATCTTTGGGCACTTCAATCGGTAAGTGGTCCCGAAATCATCATCCTGCCCGCTAACTTATCTAATATCACATCCAATACGGAATCGTAGGACCCATTTTTATGAATGCGTTTGGTTTTTAAATTAAATGTAATTCATATGGAAAGCCACAGTCATAAATTCCTTGTTATTGTAATTACATAGAAAATGTCAGCATGACCCAGGCTTTATAATATAATTCCGGGTTAGTCATTATTTTTGTAGTCTTAACTATATCGTCTTAGCTTCTAGGTTAGTTTTCAAACTAAGAAGCTAAAAAAAGGATTTTTTTTGTATCTTTGTCACAACTTCTGGGTTTTTCAACAGATACCAAATTTGATCAGTGCTTTTCTAAAAGCCATTTTATAATAAACTATAATCTGAAATTAAAGTATTTAATATTTTTGCAAATTGTTACTCTAATAACAATAACAAAATACCTAACAGCTTAGAAAGGTTCAAATTATACACAGCTGCGGTCAAAATAACAATTGTTTTTTAGCTTACGGAAATAGTAAGCAACTTTTGAAAAACTGTTTAATATTTTCTTGAAGCTAAGCATTATAAAAATGAGCTTTTACCTAGGATTAATATTTTTAAATATTTCTAAACTTAGATTAATAAAAAAAAATTGTAATTTTAAGAAAGATAAGATCAAAAAATCAAAAAAATTGTATGATGAACGAGGATTTATAGTTAATCCCAAACTACAGTTTACTACTACAGTATATTAGAAAAGAGTTAAGAGAAGAATTAAGAGTTTAAAATATTTAGTTTTTTAATATATTATTTTATATATTAAATAGGTCCATGCTATTTTTTGAGGCACTTAACATTGTCCCACTTTTATTTTGACCGCAACTGTATGCTAATGTTGATTTTAACTTACAGATTAACCAAGGTGCCGCTGCAGCAGATCAGCGCGGAGACACTGTCTATATCGGTGACGCCGTCGATCTTCCACACGGTGCCGCAGGGCGTCCACATGCAGGACATCCAGCAGCTGCTGCGCGAGGGCGAAACTCTGGCCGACTGCGTCAAGCTGATGATCGAGTACCAGGGGCGGATATTCGAGTAAGTGGAGGTGGAGGTGGAGGAGGAGGAGGAGCCCCAGCCCCAGCCCCAGTTCGCGTTCCCGTTTACCTGGTGAAGGTGCATTGGTTTCCTGGCCGCCCACTACTGTTTTCCCCAATGTCCGAATCCCGAATCCCAGCTGCGCTTATACACCTCAATGCCTCATCCAAACCGCTCATCCCTGTGCCGTTGTCTCGAACGCTTTTCTAACCACTCGAACTCGAATGCCCGAACCTGAACACCAATCCCCAACACCAATTCCGATCCCCAACGATCCCGTCGTCTACAGATGCACCGCCGATCGCCGCCAGCGTCGTCTGAGCATGCGCAACCTGAAGAAGACTCTGTCGCAGCCGGACCTGCTCTTCCACAATCTATTTTGATGTGATCTAATCTATACCGATTTGACCCGATGAAATGGACCCACGGACTGCCCTGTTTGATCCTTCATGCCAGAGAGAGCACTGTACATATTGAATGACTTTAGGCGCTTAGGTTTAATAACCCACATACAGGGATATTGACCATATTCTAAATGTTTTTTGTATATCTTAACTTTTGTAGTTATGTTAAATAAATTTATAGGTTTTAACCCTAATAGAAAGTACTTTTATTTATTTGTCATTGGCTTACTTTAATTAGTTGAATAAAAAACAACCGGATGTCAATGCTGACTAATGCTCACATAAACTTTCGCGATTCCGGAAAGACCCGAGCAACGTTCATCCCAAAAAGCATTAATTCGCTGAATCATCAAAAGACAATAATACTGGTGGATTTTCACGGGCGTACATATATGTATAATATATTTTGTTTGTATTTTGTATTTTGTATTTGAACTGCTCTATAACACATGGTGGGGTGTAAGTTTTTCGAGGAGGCGATTAGATTGGGAGCGGGGAATGTTGGGCGAACGGGGACGGAGGCAGTTGGGAAGAATCTATGATTTCGCAATACAGTCTAATCGTCACTAGAGCTAATGTGTAATAGATATATCTTTTTAAAAACCAACTGGTTTTAAGTGCTAAGTGGCCTATAAACGTATGTATATAATATATATATCAGATATATGCATGTATGTACTAGGTTTATATTAGGTTCGTTATTAGCAATCCGCTTCCTAGACTCCTATCAACATTAACATTACATTTTTGTTTAAACATATGCGGTAGGTGTATATCTAATGCGTGGGCCTTTCGAATTACATAATTGTATGTGTTGTGTACACGTAAAGCCATCCGATTTAGCGCTTCTAAAGTAATGACAAATCTGCTTTTCTGATCACAATTCGGGGTTAATCGATGCATGTATATGAATGATTTCTATGATGTAAATAGGTAGGATTCTGATTCTGATTCTGCTTCTGCTTCTGCTAGGGTTGGTTTCCAATGAGGGACTTTAAAAAACTGAGGTCTACGACTGCTCGCTTGGGCAATCAATGAAAATTAGATACATATCGAAGGCACAGGAATATTACACACATTTTACTCTAAGGGAACAGGGGCCTCAGAACTTAATTCAACTGAATAACTACTGGGTTTACGGTCTACCATGGCAGCTGCCACATGCGCATCAGATCTGTTCAAGCTTACGCTAAACTAAGTATTAAATCCACTCATTTCCGGTTCTGTTGCCTTGTTGTATTGTTGTATTGTTGTATAAATGGTATATTGCTAAACGCTCAATTTGTGACGAGTGTTTCCTAGATGAGTGTTTGCAATCTTCCTACTTGAAGAACGGGTTCTTTGACGCCGATGACTTCATGGTGCACAAGATCTGACGTTCCAATTGAAAGTCATAGTCCAAAGACTTAAGCAGTGTGGAGATCTCCGGCAATGTGGGCACCTGTTTCAATGCAAACAACGAATTAGAGTGAGATGGAAATGGAAATGGAGATGGATGCATCACTCACATCAGTTACAGCTTGGTTGCGCTGCAGCCTAATGTCCATGACGAATGGCACGCCCTCCAGCTCGGTGTAGGTGCCCAGGGTGCCGGTGCCGCCGTAAGTACCACCACGTCCTCCTCCGCTGGCACCCATTCCCGCCGGACGAGGTGGCGCCGGTCGCTGTGGCGAGTTTACTTGATAGTTGGCTTGGATCTCCTCGTAGTCATGGTGTTCAGTCGGTGGCTGTGGCAGCTGTTTGTCAGGATAAGGATAAGTTAGCATTGGTTAGATTCAAGGAACATGTGACTACTCACTGGTCCACGTGAGTTGCGCTGGCCCTGAAGGTTGAGGCGGTTCAAGGCCTGCTCCACCTCGCAGGTGGCGGCCACTGGAACACCTCCAACGCCTCCAACTCCTCCACCCGGCACTGGTGGCGACAGGCGCACCGGAATCGCGCTCGTCTTATAGCAGACGAGCACTCCGTTGATGTCGCCGGCCAGCTTGAAGCCATCGGGTGCGACCTTTAGCTTGGAGCAGAGTATGATGTCGGTGACCGCCTGGGTGACTGTGCCGCGCTTGGACAGCTTGTAGATGATCTGCCGCTTGCGCCAGGCCTTCTGGTCACTGTCGGCGGTGCGAGAGACCTGCGAGAATTCCTTGGGCGGCGCCGTCTTGTCCGCAATGACTCTGCAAATCGTGGGGTTTCTTAGTACAAAAGCCAACGGATGTGGCGCACAAAAAGATGAGCTTACTGCAGTGTCTCCACCACGTATTCCGGCAGGCCCTCGGACTTGGACAGGCAGAGATAACGTGTATTCTGGCGCCCAAACAGGCTGTAGTCGCGCCACAGATCCGCATCCGAGTCCTGATCGTAGGTGCGGTTTATGGCACTAAAGTTCTTCGGGCACCTGACGACGGAAAAAAACCTTTGTTAGATACATATATGAATTGGGAATGGATAAGTCCCTACTAACCGCTCGAAATCCTCGACGATGTGCAGCGAGGTGATGGGCCGATTGTCTGGCAGGAAGCTCATGATCGAATTGAACACATTAGTGGTACTGGCCAAACCATTGGTTCCATTGGCTGCCTCCAGCGGAGATCCCAGTAGAGTCGCCGTGGACAATGGAACACCGCCGTTTCCCAGGCCAGAGATGCCGCTTTGGATATGCTTGCCCACCTTGTTCATTGCTCAGTTTCCTGAATGAGAAAGTTCCCGAAGAAAACAATTAGTTAGGAAAACATTTTCCACTTTGATTTATGTCTCGTAGGTAGTTAAAGTACTATTTGTTTTATGACTACTTAAAAAAATTTGCAAGTGTTAATATAATATATGTATATATGTATATATTTCCATTTATATTAAAAGTGCATATTTTACAAAATAAAATCAAAAAACCTTTGTAATTGCCACACAAAGTTGGATAGTTCGTATCACAAGGTATATATAATAAGGGTAACTTTAAAGAGAAGAGTTAGATACGATTATAGTAAGCTATCTTTCCAGAATTCGGTATACAAATATCAAAAGTTGTAATATTCAAGGAATTAAGTATAAGTACCTAAATATGGAACTGATTACACATGCAACTTGGTACCCATACCATGATATCTCTGATCTCAGTGGCGCGATCTTTTGGTGCTTTTTCCCGCCCCACACAAGTGATTCACGATCTTGCGCTGGGTTTTTTGCATGGCATTCTTTTGTAGGTCGCCTCGACCAGGGCCAGGTCCGAGTTTCTCTTTGACCACTCACATATGTACACTCAAGCAGCTGCGGCGGTTCGGGGGGAATTAAACTAAACAAACAAACAGCTGCACGATCGAGTGCGCACTTTACAGTCGAATAGAGGGGATGTGATTATCTCTTTGCCCTCTTCCGGATTGTCAATTTGTTCTATATTTAATCACTGATAAGATATACTGAGCCCTGAAGGTGGCGGTCACTGAGTCATCCGCAAACTGCAAAAGCCAAATGCAAAGTGAAACAAAAGCCCGTTTACAAGAAATCAAAATAAAAATCAGACAAGGAATGACCATATGTATATATCAACAGCACTGGACGAAATGGTTTCGCTTTTTAGGATAATAAGCCCATAAGCACTTAAGTTTAATACGATTTAATACTTGTAAGTTATACCCTTGTAATATCAAGTCCTAAATGTTATTAAATTTTGATTAAGGTCTTATAATACAGTATTATTATCCGGTATCAATGGATACACATTTTTGAATACGTTTTGAAAAGGTATTATGTAATTGAGCACCCTATAAATGACCAATTGCTTTTTTCCACGATATACCTAATTTCTAATCTTGTTCCTTGTCTAATTATTTTTGTAAACACTCTATTATCGCATCGATCATTATTTAGGATCTTTATTTTTCCCTGTGCACCTACAATACTTTCTAAGGTTTCGAAAGAAAAGCACTTTGGCGCGCAGACAAAGAAAGGGGGGATTTACGTGCGAGTGGTATGGGTATATATGGCTGGGGATGTGGGGAAACTTCGCCTGATAACCAAAGTGGAGCACACTTGGCTTAAAAATAGAAACCATAGAGAAACCAATACCGTTCAACAAAAACATGCCGCACACAATTCCAATTATAAGTGCAAATTGCCAAGAAATAGAGACTCTCCCCCTCTCTCGATTCCCCAAAAACAAAACAAAAAAAAAAAAAAAACATTAGTCAACACAGCATCCACTCCCATATACGTACACAATTAATAATTCCCGATGGAGCGATTCGGGTTCAGATTACGATTCCGCCGGGCACCTATGACTCCAGGGGGCCCAGAGTTCACTCAAAGTTTTGATCCCGCTCTGCTCCGGCGAGTCGATGGCGTTAACTGCATTTAATAGAACAATTAACGATCCGGTCCCCCGATTTAAGAGTACGAAGTCTCCTATTGTTTGGCAAACAACAACAAAAAATACACTGATTTATTTGAGATGAACCACTTTGATAGCACTATTTTTCTAAACATCGATTGTTCTCCGCGACTATCGATAGTTAAAACATGTAGTAAAACTCCGGGATTTATATCAGTAAACTTATTCACTCTTATAACTGTAGAAAGTATTATTCTGAGATACTCATAATAGAGAATTTTTAGATGTTGAAATTTAATTTGTTGGTATTATAAGGTTGAATTAGGTATATAGGTGTTTATTAACTTTTTGATTTTTTAGGGCTGCATAGGGGTTAGTAATTGTTAAATATTGAACCTAGAAAAAGAGCAGCCGAGAAAATTATTAATTTTAATTAATATTAATGTTGTATTATAAAGGTACTTACTTAAGAAACTTATCCGCTTAAAGTCAAATTTTGTCTTATTAAAGGTGCTTAAAAGTTACTTTTAAGATTACTTATAAAAAGTCTTATAAGGTAGTCTTAAATTTTGAATCCTAAACAAAAGTTAAGCTTTCATAATCTTAGTTTAAATTACAAACTAACAAAAATAAGAAGAATAAAGCTGCCTTTTTTTTCGCTGCCCAGCGTATCCACTAAAATTTCGTTTAAAGTGGTTAATTTTTAGTGGAAACATCTTTGAAGTCTAAAAATACGATGCAGTGGAGTCCAGCTATAAGACCAGTGGGGCCTACACTATCGATCTCACTTGTAGTAATCGATAGTACCGATAGAATGCACCCATCTCTAACCGCTAAAGTGTCGAAAATACAATTTCGGCTTTTTTTTTGTTTCCTAACGTAAACAAACCGGACAAAGACTGAACCAATGGAGAAGGTGGAGGCGGTGACGGTGCCCAATGTGGATGCATATCGACGACTGCTGAACAAGGCGGTGTCCCAGTTGCTGGTGGACAAGGGCGCCGGCCAGGCGAGCCACCAGTGTCTGGAGACGCTCACCCAGATGCTCCAGGCGCGTAAGTAGAAACCGGGGCTTAGAATCCAGCCACTATTGATAAACACCCCGTTCCAGTGATCGGGGAGATTGGCAATTCGGCGCACAACTACTGCGAACTGAGTGGACGCACCATGCCCACCGTGGGCGATGTCAGCCTGGCCCTGATCAACATGGGCATCTCGATCGCCAGCCTGGATCCGTATATGCGCAAGGAGACGCACGCGGCCATTCCCCTGCCGCCGCAGCAGACGCAACAGCGCCAACTCAGCCTGCTCCAGGCGGGCAGCAAATCCTCGCATCCTCACTATGTGCCCAGCTACTTCCCGGCCATGCCCGATCCACACGCCTACATACGGACGCCCACGCACAAGCAGCCTGTGACGGAATACGAGGCCATTCGGGAGAAGGCCGCCTGCCAGAAGCGGGACATCGAGAAGGCGCTCACCAAGTTCCTCTGCAAGACCACGGAGACGAACAACCTCTTCCCCACCGAAGACAACATGTTTCCACGTAAGAATGCATCGAAATAGTCCTAGTTTCGCGTTGATTAACCTTCTTTTGTTCTGTGTCATTTCAGTAATCGCCTGCAAGCCCGCCTTTCCTCCGTATGCAGCCGCCTTGAATCCCACGGATCAGGTGTTTGACTTCGAGGAGCTGGAGTATCACTACCTGGTGGCCAATCGCACAGAGGATGTGCCCAGCAAAGGTGCGTTCCTCCTTGTTATCACATTGCACATATCGCACATCGATTCTCAACACTTTATTCCCCTTTTCAGAGGACGGCGAAGAGGGCGACAGCGAGAACGAGGAGATGGACGGCGACAAGTCCAAGGAGGAGAAGCCCGAGCTGGAGATCAAGCCCAATTCCACCACGAACAAGGCCATTTTGGAGAACCCCAACATAGATAATCCCTATTTGCGAGCCGCCACCCTGCCCAAGCGATCCAAAACGGGCCCGGCACCAGGAATCATGCCAAGCCGGAGTCTGGCCACCACGGCACCAACGATACCAACGCCCTCCACCCTAGAGATAACCAAAAGTAGCGTCTAAGTGTAGCATGCAGTTTTAACTATTGATAGACAATTTATACACTCCGGTTTTTATATAAATGCTAAGCTGCAAATTGATCGATGAGGTGAGTTTTTAAGTCCACCTGGAGGTTTTATTTAGAGCATTTCAGAATCTGCTGTATCGAAGGCAAAGAAAAGCAAAAGTTTTTCAAATCTTAAACCATTGAAATTAAGGTTGGTAATACCTAATACCTAGCTCTTAAAGTAACATTACTTCAAGTTCTTGCCTTGACTTTTAAGCATTTTATTAGTGTATTATCGGTCGAGATTGTACTTCTCCATTGCCAAAACTCCCACTTATTAAAAACATTCAATTCTGAAAAGCAAAAGTATTGTCAAGCCTATTAGTATAAATTAGGAGCACCCAGTTTTGTGAAAACCAATTAAATGCATTTCATCGGGCTGAACCACAAGCATGTCAAGGCCAAAAATACAAGGCAATTATGGGATGCGATTATGTTGTTGTCCAGTCATTTTTTTTTTGATTATTTGCATAGTGCATTTCATATTTTTGATTAAATCGAATTAGATATAGATATTCAGCCCCAGTTCCCAGGGTTATCCGGAAATGCATCCAATTATTATAGCCCGGTCAATATGAGGAAGTGGGGGCAGACTGGATTCAGTCATTGGGAATAAATTATTGTGAAATACTTGTAATTGAATTACACCGTAAGCGCGGAATTATGATTCGATTTAATGCGAGATTGTGCACAGTATTTGACATGCCCCAAAGTTAATCCAGTGGGATTCGGTATTTGATTTTATCTAGGGAATATTTACTGTCTGGGATAATATAATAATAACACCCGAATTTCTGGTTATATTAAACTAAGGGAAATATTGTTGGGTTGTATGATGTGAATTTAATAATATTGTCACACATGCTGCTGCCATGATTTAAAATTGCAAGAATAAATAAAAAGATCATAAATATGCTAATTTTAATTCACAGATAAATTTGAGTATCGAAATTGCTTTTTGTATACGAAAATAATTCATAATATAACGATTCCTTGGGCCTTCTCTCATATTAGAAAAGTCCACCTATGTCCTCGGTCCTTGAAAAAAAGCATTTCCTCCGAGAAGTCTTTTCTAAAATGGAATCCCTCCCCGTGTGAATGTATGTGTGCTAATTATGATTTTGAGTGCCGAAAGAAAATTAGAATATAGAGAGATAGAAAGAATGTGCGAGACTCTGTCTGTTTGTTTCTTTTTTTTTTTTGTAATTTAATTTAATTTACATTAAAAAATATAATTTGTAAATAATGAAATATAATCAATAATTCATCAAGGTGTTCAGATGTTTGGTTGTTGTTTTGAATCGTTGATCTGAATTATTTGTAGCAGTTGAGTTTTTGAGTTTGAGTCTGAGTTTGATTTTGAGTTGTTTAAGTTGTTGCTGTTGTTGTTTATTGACTTCATTTCTGATCAAATCCATTGTGGACACATATATATGGCGAGATATATACATGCATATATATTTTTGTAGATATATATATTAATAGATTTATATAAATTGTATTGCTTCAGATAATTGTTGTAAATAATTTCAATTATTGTTTAGGGCGGGAGTCACGGGTCAGTGGACACTAGTGGACGTGTGGACACTTAAGCTTCGGCCTCAACCTCCTCCTTCACCTTGGCATCTCCGGGCTTGCCCTTGGACCAGTCGGGTTTCTTCTGCTCATCCAGAATCAGGAACCAGGATTGGTGGTGGATTGGTTGATATCATGACGGAATAGAGGAGAAAACGAATCGGCATTAGTTGGATAATCACAATCGAATGGCCACATACAACATCTGGATGCGGATGCTCGGTGCCGACACTATAAACTACATTGTGATCTACATATACAAGTGACGTGTGTGTGTGCTCCGAAAGACTATGATATGGTATGATGGTCAATTTGATCTATCGATCGATCGATTTTTGAGACAGCAAAGATTTAATATTTGACTGGTAAGTTATTTTAAAAAACAAAGATCAAATTGACCTCGTTACATATTAAATAAATCTATGGATTTTTTTTTTTATATATAGTGTGAGTGATTATTTGGAGAGAAAGTGTTTGACTATAACTACTGACTAAAGACAGCTACCAATCGTAGAAAGACAAGGACAGATCAGAGTGCGACAATAGATATAGAGAGAAAGATATAGAGTGGGTGCACTCAGGTGCTCAATACAAACAGAAGGATATCTGGGACACACGCACACACTCAGGTTCTTACACTTTTTGGCTTGCTTTAGCACAGCGGCATCTTTTATCTTTTTCTAAACGTCACAGAAGAGATAGATAGAAGATCATCGTCGAGTAGAGATATTATAGGTAACAGATTCCCGTAGATGCCCAGAATGATGATGCCCACTTACCTCCTTCTCCTCCTCCTCCAGCGTGAACTCCTTCTTCTTCACCACCTTGAGCTGGTTACGGAAGTTGAACTCAGCGGCCTTCTTCTGCAGCTTGGCGAATTTGTTTTCGTATTTGGAGACCTTCTTCAAGGCTGGCTTGACGCTATGGGTAACAAAACAGTCGATTAATAATCGATTTTCCTATCGATTATTTCGATTGTACTTACAATTTGCCGCGAAGATCGTTAACTTGGGCATTGAGATCGTTGATCTGCGGTCAAACGCCAGATTTCAAGAGAGAGTTGGGAAGAGAGAGGTTACGCAATTAGTACGAGTTCATCGACTGTTGTCAATCGGTCTATCGACACATAGAGCTACAGCTACGGGCGGGCAACTATCAAAATCAAAATGCTGAAAGATTCGAGCTCTTTCCTTTCGATGGGCGGTTTTTTTTAGGCTAGGCATGCATAGGAAACATGAAACATGGGTTGCAGACGTATAGAGCATACTCTACCATTGGCACTACCACTAAGGCGTAATGCTAAGTTCTAAGTGCTAATACTAGGGCGTGCTGGCGTGCGTGGGTGAGTGAGTGCGATAGAGCGAGTAAGCGAGCGAGCGGGCGAGCCATACGAGCCAAGTTCTCTGCGGTCTAAACTGCCTAGTGGGAGCGAGACGAGGATATTGGTGGTTGCGGTTTGGTGGTTCAATAGATTGGCGCTTTTCATATTTATATTCAGCTCGCGCCTCTTGTTGATTGAACAGCATAACATCCAAATGTCGATTGCTTTTGCTTTAATGCTTTATTTGTAGTTTTATAGAGAGTATTGTTCGTTTATACATATATACACTAGACAGAGACAGATAGTCAAAGTGATCAAGTGAGAGAGACAGAGATATAGATAGTCGGATTCGGAGTGAGTGAGACGGAACGAGCGACGTTGGCCTGACTGCAACTGCAATGGAAATGGAACTGAAACTGAAACGACTGAAACTCAAACTTAAAACCCAATTGGGCGACTGGGCTGAGGTACTGCTTAACGGTATTCGAATATATCGTTATAGTAATCGTTATCGGATCGCTAATAACAGCCTCCTCTGTTTGCTCCCTTCGTTATTTTGTTTTGTGTTGCTTTCCTGCTTTGCTTTACTTTCTTGTTTCTCTTTCTTTTGATTTGTTTGTTCGGCTGCGCGTTTCATTTGGCATTTTTGACGGGTTCGTGTAACGGTAATCGGTATCGGTAATCGGTATTTCACGTTTAGTGGACTAGCATTAAGTGATTCAATCGAGAAGTAATCGACGCTTGGCTTTTATGCTCTTCAACATGGAACTCAGTTCTTCTTAGCTTTGCTTTGCTTTTCGTTTCTTTTCTTGTGGCTTTTCGCGGACATGAGAGTAATAGAAACACAGAAAAAAAGTGACAGAAAGACAGAGATAGATAGAGAGAGACAGAGATAGACAGTGTGAGCGGCAATGGGAAAAATTTACACAAACATTATTTACAATGAAGTGCGGTGGCTTTGTGGGCGGTGGACAGTAGAGGGCGTGGCTGATCGGGATAGGTTCTTGGCTGCTGCTTGTCGGTCTTTTCGGTGTATATTTTTAAACTGATTTTTGTATGTGCTGCATGCAAAATGTTGCGTGCTTGCGTGCGTTGCGTTGCGTTTCGTGTGAGCGTGACTGTACTTTTTATTTTTCACTTGTGGTCGTGTGCTTTTGTGCTAGTGTGCTTGTATGCTTTTGTGCTTTTAAATTTTAAATTGTAATTGTGTTTGTGGACCGGACGCACAGACTGTGGTGCTGTTGAGTAATGGCGGTAACGCGTCGACAGCGGCACAAACAAATTTTTTTTTTTTTGGTTACAGTTAAGAAAAAGAGAAATAACACACACACAAAACAAAATTCACAAATGGTGCAACAAACTAGTTATCTTGCTGTTGTTGTTGTTGTGCAATTTACTAATACTACATTGTTGTTGCTTGTTGTTGTTTTTTGATTGGTTGTTGTTCTTGTTGTCTGGGGTGTAGTGTGACTGATGAGCATACTTGGATTGCCAGTTAATTTGATATTTTTGCAAGAAGGAAGTGAGGAGGTGCTATGTGACATGTTTGTTCGTGTGCTTGGTAGCGGACTTAACCTCACTAAACGTTCGGACATAACCTCACTGGACACGACACATTGAGTTGAGTAGATTTCTCGATAGATTCGATAACGATTGACTGGTCTGGTCTGGTCTGGTTGGCAATCCTCGCGTTCTCAGCTTATTCGTGTTTCCGTCTTGAGTTTTGGAGTTAAACGTAAGTAACAACGGCATTAGGAACTCGAAATCGAAATTGAAATCGAACAGAGGGAGTAGTACGAATAATAGTCACTGATGTGTGCTCTCACCCACACCCACATATATGCTTCTGTATATATATACGGGCGGAGCGAGCACGAGTGGTTGTTGTTTTGTGAAACAGTCAAGTTAAACAGATACAAACTAAGAGACATGTTTTTGAGATGCGCATTCAACAAGTAAGAAAGAAACAACGGAACTGAACGGAACGGAAACGAACATGATACTAGAACTCAAATGAATACTTTAGATAATCAATTCAAATTTTAGTTTTGATACAATTTTGTTGCATTCTGTCTTGGGTGAGTTGGTTTTATTATTTTTTTGTTTGGTTGGTTGTTCTTTTGTATTCAGAGTTTTGACATTGATTGATTGATTGAGAACGATTTGAAAATTTTAATTGAAATTGTTGCAGTACCTCCCAGTCTTTTTTCCTGACTTCGTATTCCAGATCCCATTTCTGGCCTTCACAAATATACATACGCTCGTAATACTCTTCGCAAATCTCTTGCAATTCGCCTGCAAAAATATTTTATTTTTTCGGGATTTGGTTTTGGTTTTGGCTTAAACTTTTAATCGACGTTGGACGTTTGGTAAAGTTCTAAATCTAGGTATGACTAAAAGTAGTTATGATTGAATTTACTGTTTATAGAGTTTTCTTTTGGTTTATCGCAATAATGGTTATCGATATCATATCGTTTGTTGTTTCGCAGCTTCATTAGATGTTATGTGTTCGATGAGTTTTCATTCTTCAATTTTTTTTTGGCTTTGATTTTTGTACTGTTTCAGAACGGAACAAATCGGAGCGGAACGGAACGGAAGCGATCGTTACGGTTTACGTTATTGGCTTATTGGGTTCGCGTGATTTCCATGGGCTTAACGTTTAGCTGAGACTTATTATTCGGGTTTGACAATTAATGAAAGTTGTTCCTTATTGATTTTCCTACAAGCTTCCCCTCCGGCGGACCGAAGACCTGGCTTGGGGGGTTCGGCGGGGGTAGACAGTTCCCGGATCCGGACGGATAGACTATGTACACGGGCGGCCCGGAAACTATTTCCCCCCAAATCCGGACTGTTTGAAGCACGCGCCGATGCGAGAAGATCTCTCTGATTTTGTTTTTGTTCTGTAGTTTAGCGCAGTTAAAACAATATCAAAATTAGGTAAACGAACAGAAGTATCGCAGTAAAAACTAAAAATATGATTAGGAAATATTTAGAAATGAAATCAAATAATTAAATCAAGGGCATAATTGTAAAGTAGAGTTATGATTAATAATCGATTTATATATATGTAAATATCTTTTTTTTTTGCTTGATAAGAAAGTAAGAAAAAAACATTCGATTTTTTTTTTTTTTGTATTCGTTTTTTTGTTTTTTTTTTGGGTGCATGGCAAAACTTTGTAAATCTTTGGGGAATTTACCTCTTGGGCCTTGACTTTCTGCACGTGTTCTAAATCAAACTTATCGCCCTCCAAATCGTAAACGCGTTGCCAATATTGTTTGCATATTGTTTGCAGTTCGGCTGCGGTAAACAGTAACGGTAACGGTAGCGGTAACAGTAGCGGTTACGAAACGGTAAACGTTCGACGTTTTTGAGAAGACGTAACAACAAAGTTCGTTTTGTATTGGTGTTTGCGAGTGTGTCGTTGTGGGTGTGTTGGTATTGGTGTTTGTTTGTTGTTTTGTAGGTGTGTGTGTGTAAGTGTTACGGATCAAAGAATAGATATAGAGATATAGATATAGATATAGAGTGAAAGATTTGGAAAGGACAGATATAGAGAAAAATAGAGGGGAAGAGAAAAGGAGTGACATGGAAGAAAAGACAGTGACAGATATAGTTAAAGGTAAAGTTACAGAGATGGATATAGTCAAAAAGAGATAGCAAAAGAGACAGAGAGAGAAAGAGAGAAAGATTAAGACGACGACAACGACGCATTAAATTGTTTGTTTCGTTTTGGGTTTGTTTGTTTTTTGTTTGTTTGATTGTTCGATTGATTGTTTGGCGCGTTTTCGAGAAAAAGAAGGATTAGATTAAGATTTGATTAATAAAAAGTTATAGATTGAACTCGGTCTTTATCACCTACTGATGTTCTAAATGTAAGACAGTGTTGTGTATTCGTTTCTTGGTGCAACATGAAGTGTCTGTAAAAGTGTCAGTGTCTTCTGTTGTTTTCTTTGTGCGTGACTGTACTTTCTGGGATGACTGTACGTGGTTGACCTGAGCTCTGGTCACACTAGGAGTAGGCTGCACTTCCCTACCTCTAACCGTTTCGTTTCATTTATCAATATTCTTTCGTTTGGTGGGTTAGTAGAAGCTTTCACAAAAATCCAAAAATACAAAAATAGTACATGTGTTTTTCGCTACAATATAAAGCCAAAAAACTTGTAGCCACAAAAAGCTTATAGCTAAAGCCGCAAAAAGCAAAAAATCGCACAAATACGGTGACATCAAAAAAAGGTATTGTCAGCATTTGTTGCACTCGGCTTGGGTTGTTAGTAATTAAAGGCTGCGAGGTTAATTCGATCTTTCCGATATTTTGGGAACGATCTAGAAGCTCTTATGTTACGGGTTAGCTGCGTTGACTAGGGCTCTACTTTCTATATGGTATATACGATTTTCGGGTGCGCAAAACACCGCGTTGGTTTTGTGGGGGCCTCGTTTGCAAAGCTCTCTCCCAAAAAGAAAACGGAGTTTCGAAAAATACAAATTGTTAACTACGGTTTCTACAAAGTGCTTTGGTTTTTTTTTTTTTTTTTTTTTTTTTTGTCCGCCGGACACACACACTAGTGTATATATAGCTCCGAAATATTTGCATATATTTTTGGGCTGATTGTGCTGCTGCCTCGGCTAGTGAAGTATATTGAGTTATCGACAAGTTCTACGATCTGCGAGAGATTGAAACTATTGGAAACCGGAGCTGCTTGCCTCAAAATCCTTTCTGGCTACTTCGTACTCGAGATCGTACTTTTCGGACTCCAGTTTCAGTATCTTACTGTTGTAGTCCTTACAAACACCCTGAATTGTATCTGCGGAACGTAGTTTGGTTATCAAAACGGTTCGATCTGGATAGGTGTTTAAGTGTTTGTTGTGTTTTTTTTGTTTTGTTTTTTTCTTTTGTGGGAGTGGGAGTGTGAGTGTGTTTTTGTGTGAAACTAAACTACTCGAGGTATGAGACCTATAATTCCATAGATAAACAGACATCATCCTCACTGGAGGGACATATAGAAAGAGACCTGCATTAATCGGGTGAGTATACGGAGCTTTAGAGCTATATAGCTATTGAGTTTCTGTACAGTTTTTAGTGCCTGGGCAAATAACACTTTTCACGAACATATATAAGAGAGTGTATTATACAGTAAACAGTAAAAGTAATAGATTGGAGAGTGAGATAGTATTTTAGATATATAGAAAGAGATAGCTGACAGAAGGTGTTTATTGTTGTAGTTGTTAAGCGTAGTTGTTAACTTTTGATTTTGATCGAGGATAGACTTAGGCGTATTTAGGTGGCGTATTAAAAGTTGGTGGTGTTCGTGTACCTCAACATCCTTGCGTTTAACAACATACTCAAGATCATATTTCTGGTCCTCCAATTTATTAATCCTGTCATAGTGTTGCTTGATCAGAGATTTGAGTGTGTCTGTTCACAATGGGGGTTTTTTGTATCGGAGTGGTTCGGAGTTGGTATGGGGTGTTGGTTGTGTTGGTTGTGTTGGAGTGGTGGAGTGGTGGATTGGGGTGTGTGTGTTTGGATCGATTGGATATAAAACGGACATGGGAGCGGCAAAAGAGAGATAGAGATAGAGACACATTTAGATACATGTTGCACACAGTGGTCCTTTTTCAGGCTATGGTTATAAGACAATGGTTCCTCTGCGACGTCGAGATCCGATATGGGAGGTCGGAGGTTATCGGTTATCGGTTATCCTGCGATTATTGTATGTATGTGTGTGTGTGTTTTGATGTGTGTGTGTGTGTGTGTGTGGTTTTAATGCATTGTGTGTCCGTGTTGGTGTGAGTGTATTGGTGTAGTATGGATTTTGTATGTATGTATGTATGCGATAGATGACAATTGTTCAACTTTTGGTTATCGATTTTGTTTTATCGTTTCTCGACAAAGCGGATATATAATCCACCAGTCTGGTTTACTGATTGATTTCATTTATCTCCTTTATACGTTTGTTATTCATATTCATATGCCTGTGCCCGTTGAAGGTGCGAGGAAACCCCGACGAGAACCGGGATTTCCGAGCACCCCATTTCGGGATCTTGAGCAGACCACTCTCGATTCGAGGACCGAGGCTACTCACCTTCGCTGGCATCGCTGAGATTCCTGGGACTGCCGCAACGTTCTTCAATGATGCGTCTACGTTCAGCCGCTTTGCGTTCCTGTTCCTTCTTCAGCTCCTCAGCGGCTTTCTTACGCAGCAGCAACTGTGGATTGGAGTTTTAGCGGTTTTAGCAGGTGATTCCACACTAGAACAAAAACCCCTTACTTACCCTGAGTTTCTTCTTCCTCTCTGGAGTCATGAAACCCTTCTTGGCCTTCTTGGCCTTGGAGGCTTCCTCCATGCGCTTGCGCACCTCAGCACGCTTGCGCTCGATCTCAGCCTGTTTAGCCTTCTTAGCCTGCAAATCAAAGACACAATCCGTGGGTTAGCTTGGTCAGTCCACCACATCTCCAAAACTGGACATAACACTATAAAACACGGCACAGCACAGCACAGCACAGAACTTGAATGTAGACGTAGACGTGGACGTTGAGCTAAACGGGCACACACGTACACAAGTGTACCTCCTCGGCCTTCACTTTGGGGTCGTTGGGATCCTTGGGCGGACCGGCGGGGGCGGCGGGAGCGGCGGCGGCTGCCTTGCCATTGGCCGCCGGGGCTGCTCCCGGTTTGGCCGCCGCTGCCGCTGGTGCCGCGGCCGCCGGTTTGGCCGCCGCTGCCGGTGCCGCTGCCGGTGCCGCGGCCGGAGCTGCTGCCTTTTTCTGAAATTAAAGCAAAGGGTTTACAATTAAATGGGGTTCATAGAGGCAAAGGCGTTGGTATATCCTGGAGAAAATGTAGCTTAAGGATTAAATGTAGCTTAAAGGATTAAGTTACTTAAAAAATTGAAAAAAATTACTATACATTTAGTTACCAAAAAAATGCTAAAAAACCTTATATTCAAAAGTAATTTAGCACAACTTTGACAATCGAATTTAATTTTTGTCCTATTGCAAGTTACTAAGAAATAAAAAGGATTGGTCTATTAAGTAACTACAAATTATTGGTAATTCAAAGAAATATTTATTTTAATGTATACAATATGTTATAAGCATTACAAGTAAAAAGTAGTTCTTTCATTATCATTTAAAATAAGTGAATTAATTCAGTGATGACATCTCAACTTCAGATGCAACTTTAGATTTATTCTGAAGACTACGATTTTCTCCAAGCACAAACAAACGTAAAACAATGAGGGACAGCAAAAAGCACAGAGACATAGACACACACTAACGATAACAGACATAGTTTTTGCATTTAGACTTGACAGTTATCATTATCTGTGCTCCTTAAGCGAAAGGAAGAAATGTGGCTGGGACTCTAAGGGGGGGTCGAAAATCGCAGCGATCCTGTGAAAGCAAGAGAAAGGCATTTTGGCTTGGTTTGCATGGTTGTTCAAAGTGGGGGCGGCAAGTATAAGTAGAAGCAAAAGATCCTAATTTTGAGGAATCTGCTTACCTTTAGCCACGTCCAGTCAAGGGTAGTCCCGTCCAAATCTCATCCATTTTCAGTAGCAGTGCGTGCGATAAATTTCCAATAAAAAGTTAACTGCGGAAGAGGGTCAAAGGTTAATCCACCATAGATCGAAGCGTTTGGTTAGGGGTCCATCAACGATACTCACCTCACCTCATCATCAGCCATTTTGATTTGTGTTTTTGGTTACTGCAAAAAGGGAAAAGAAATCGAGAGGTGAACTCAAGGAACTGGAACTGGAGGTGAATGTGAATGGTGAATGGTGAATGGAAATGTTCGATGACATCATTCCAATTGTCCTATATATACATGGCTATAGGTATAGACGCCGATATACATATGTGTATATATCTATGTGTTTATATATATATATATATATATATATGTTCCATAAATCATTCGTTCTCACACTCTCTCACGCCTACGATCTCACCGGGGGCCCACAGTGCGTATGCGCAATGATGCTAGCATATGCCGCATATTACGTATACGCAGCATTGGGCCATGCCGTATATGGGGGGCAACCCCAGCAATACACTCATTTTCCCGCTCTCCCTCTCTCTCTCCCTCTCTCTCTCTCTCTCTCTTTCTCTTTTCGATAGCTTTTCTTTCGCACATTTACTTTGGCGTGGGCGTTTGCCTGCCAGAAAAAGACCACGATATTGCTAAGTTTTTTTTTGTTTTTTGCTTTCTCTCATCGATATCCAATTTCAAGTGAGTGCCTAGAAATCGAGTAAAGAGAAGTAAGCGGGTCCTCTTAACTGAGCGAGCTCAGTCAGCTGATCTTGTTGATGGAAAGTTTTCCACAATATGTAACCTTGGCTCGACTTTAAACCGTCGCCGTTTGCAAGGTAGTAATTTGTGCATTTGCCTCTTAAAACAAATAATAAACTTTATTTTGTTTTGTTTTATTATGGAAGTATAAAGATTCTATTGAAAATATAGATTATTAGCTTTAGATTGCTAATTAATCTTTTTGAAAGTGGTTCCACAAGTCAATGGTTAAAGGAGTAAAACACAATATGCTTTGTGAATATCCATGTGTAGCTGAATTAAATAAGACTATTACAAAATAGGCAGACATTATATTACTGTGAAGATTCGGCTTGTTATTAAAAGTAATCTTTTAAAAATTACACAGAAATAATTTCCCCAAGTGTTTCTTAATAATTTTAGAACAAGCTAAGCAAACCTTAGCAAACTTGTAGCTCGGAAGTTACGAAATAAAGCATAATTATTTGTCTCTAAAAGGTAGATAGCAAAATGCCAAAACCATATGGTTTAATAGAATGAAAAGCTAGGGGGCCTAGGCGTATATTTAGCCCCAAGAATTCGACTTGTCTTTGCGCACCTTTGCGAAGGTAAGGCGTGAAAATGTTCTGACAACGACGACCTTCGGATATGCACACACACACACACACCGAGAGAAATGCAGAACAAATTTAAGCAATGTACAAGTCTCGGGCTCCATTTAGCATAGATCTCAGAGTAAGAGCGAATGAGATGGCTTCTGTTGTATCTAGTATCTGTCTGTGTTAAAAATAAACCTGTTGATAGATACACGAATTTCGGATGCGAGAAATATGGCAGCTATTTATGATTCGCCGTACAATTTGTTTATGTGTTCATGGCAAAAAAAAAAATGAAATTGGAACAGCGAAATTCAAATCGAATAATAATCCAAAAGTGCGGAGAGTATTTATCCAGATATTTTTATATAGACGATATGTGCGTTTGTTTCTCTATGTGTGTGTTTGAGTGTGTGTGTGTGTGTGTGAGTGTGTTTGGCATGTGTGTGTATTGTTTTTCTCTCTTGGGATTTCTTATTCTCCCTTCGTTCTATTTTCAGGCACTTTCTCAGCATTTTAAGCTTTTTCGAAATGGATCCTCTTTCTGTGCAATACATTTTTAGCTTTCAGCACGCACACACTCGCACGCACACACGCACATACACACACTGCAACTTCTTACATAATTGGCAAGCCAATACAAAAAAAAATTGTTCAAAAAACTCAAGTCAAAATAACGTTGCAAATATTGTTCGTTGAATTGTCTTGTAAACACTTGTAAACTTTGTCACTTTAAAAAAATATCAAAAAAATTGTTGGCAAAAAAAAAGGGTAGAATCCTCCTCTGGGAAACACGCACACGTTATTCAGGTCAGGTCCAGATATATATGCATATATATCGTATGAGAAAGGATTAGTGCACACTTGTTTTTCTTTTTGCAATTTGCAATTTGCATTTTAAAGTTTTCGGCTTTTTGTTCCTTTTTGCTGTTGATCTTGCATTGTTATTTGTTATCGATGATGTTTTTCCTTTTCTCATTTTTTCTCATTTTTTTGTCATTTTGGATGTTGCTCCGCTTCAAGCACTCACCTTCAAGGAATTAGAAAAAAAAGAAAAAAAATTCGGCTGTGCTGTCGATCACACGAATCGGATGATACTGAACGACACAAAAAGACTGAACGGTCCGACGATCCACGGCAGACTATATTCTAGCGGCCAGCCAAGCAACGGATACAGATACGGATTCGGATTCGGATCGTTTCGGTATCGTTGCGTACCAGAATACCGCCCACCTGCCCACCGTTATTCACGAACGTGCGAGAGCGAGACGGCTAGAGCGGGCGAGAGTGGTTCGGGGGGGCGGGGTTATGTATCTGGGTGTGAGGTCCAAAAATAGCACCCGCCAAACTGACAGAGCCCAAAATCGAAATGGATACCGAAAAGTGTTCGGCGCCGGTGCCGAGCATTTCCGATCGTATGCCGATCCGGTACCGCTTCCCCTCTTCCCTCCCCCCTCCCCATTCAACTGCAGCCCGTAACGCCCATCATACCGCTTGGAGAATCTGTATCCCAAAAAATTCGTATCTGCAGTCTGTGTGTGCGCTGTGTGTAAACGGAGCCGCTTGGAATTCAATGCAATGGATAAAAATAAGTTTTGCTCCAGTTAGGAGGAGGAGGCTACGCGATGGCAGTGCAGTCGCTCTACAAGATTATGCGGCCAGGGATGGGGCCTGCCTGCAGGCGGCGGCGGGTTTCGCCAGCCCTGATCGAAATATGAAAATATTTCCTTAGTACTGGGCAATACGCGAACTACACTTTTGAGCATAAAAGCTCAAGAAAATGTCGTCTTCGATAAAAATAAGCTTGAACAAAATATCAGTAATATTCCCTTAGAATTCCCAACTGGTTCAATCAACCAAATGATTGAAAAAGCAATACAATTAAATATAAAATGCATTTCTTTGTAAATCAAGTTGCAGATTTTTATTGCACATTAATCCTTATCGCCAGATAAATATCTAGAAAAAGGATAATGCCACAGAAAATGGTTTTCCTGAAAAAACTATTTGTTTAGTTTAATAGTGAATATTTTCTGGAATTCCCGACTTGAAAGAATAATAATAATAGAAGGGAATTCCCTAAAATATGTGATTTGTATATTATAGCTCTGAAAGTAAAAAGCAATCGTGTTTTTAAAACATATAATAATTTTATAGATCAAAAAGTAGGGAAATGTAAATCCTACAGAAGTTCAAGAAATTAAAATGTTATCTCTATTCACTTAAGTTTATAACTTCATATAGTTTCAAAAGCCCTTCTTGAAGTAATGTCCTTTCGATGGGCATATTAGTAAGTAATTCGCCATCAATGGAATTATTCCATTTATGATCATTTTCGGACCGTGCCACTTTGGACTTGATCTAGAAAAGCGCTTTTAACGATCCCCCTCATGTTGTTCGGCTATTTATCTTGGATGTTGTACGCTGACATAACTATAAACTTTTCGAATAGTGAATTCCTGCCGAATTGTACGTACATATAGCCAACTTGTTAATATCAATGTTTTAGCTGAATTACTTTGGCACCGTCAATCTAAATATAATGTATGTACGGAACATGGCCAGCACCACATATATATCCCATATATATATATATTCTATAATGGTAAACTGTGCGGATGACGCTGCAACACACCTATAGCAGCCCATTAAACGAAAATCACGCATACGCCCCGTATACAAAATGCCTTGCAACGTTTGTCGCAAGTAATTTTCAAATTTCGCCAAGAACGAAAGAAATAAAACGTTTCGATCACAAAACCGTGTCTATATATATATATCATATATGAATTTAGATATACATAGACGCGTATATGTATGTTCTGATTCTATAAACTTTCTGCAGAAAAGCAAAAACAAAATATTGTTTAAAATAATGTTGCTTTTCCTTGCTCTTCTATTTGTTCTCTGCTCATTTTGGTTCTTGTTGTTGTGTGGCTTTTTCTAGCTCTATTTCGAAATGTGTTTTCGATGATTTCTATTTTGTTTTTCCCCATTTAAATTTAGAACTTGGCTTCCAGGGGGGAGAAAATGGAAAGGGGACTGCGGAAGGGCAGTGGGTTAGCTTGAGGGAAACGTTTTCGTTTTCCTTTTCGTTTTCTTTATCGTTTTCGTTTGCGTAGGGAACTTGATCAATTCGGCTATGTCTGGACGAATCTATTTTCGCCTTTATTTTCGTTCAAAGCATTTAAAACAATTTCGCTGTGCGCTCAGCCAATTTTTGTTTTAATTTATGAATTTTGACAATGTTTTTCTTTTCAAAAACATCTTTTATATTCTTCTTAATTTTTGGGTCTTTGGCAAACAGGAAATATTAAAGGCGGAGCTGGGCTGCAAAGTTACAAAGAACATATTGTTAATATATAACCATATAATATTACACTGAAAAATAAAAATAAAATATAAATATAAATATTAAGTGCACATAAATATTTATAAAAACCATTAATTAAAATAAAATGACAATAGAAGCAATAAGAAACACTTCCAATAAAAATAAAAACTATTAAATCATTATTTGTACAGTAAGTCATCTAAATCATGTTAATATTAAGTTATCCTTATCTATGTATTTATCAATCAATTGTGAAACTGGTGTGACTGGCGCATTAATGTTAAAGTATTAAACTTCTAGCATCAGGATAATAAAGTAAAATAAATAAATAAAAAAAAAAATTTTTTAAATATTATTTGCATTTTTAGTTTTACTTAACTTTAAGTTTCCTATTTAATTTTTTCAGTAAAGTGGCCGAAATTGAGATTAGTTTGGGGTTAAAAGCGAACCATCGATGGTCAACATTCTGCGAGTGCGTCAAAGCAAAACAAAACAAACGTCATAAGCCCCCTTAGAACAACCTTTCGCCCCTTTCACCCCCCGTTCATCCCACCCGTCCCCCCTTAACCACCCATTCTGGGCTTGGCCTTGTAATTTTCGCTCTACCTGACAACTATTTGTCGCTGCTGTCGTCGTCGTCGTCGCCGAACTCCCCTCTTGTTGCTGCTGACCTATTTAGGTTTACATATACACAGGCACAAACAGGCACTCATATCCTGCATCCTCCATCCTGCATCCTCAATCCTATATGTACTTGCATTATATATGTACTGACACTCATGGAAGCTGTCAGCTTTCGCTTACTCCGGCAAAGTCCTGCGAAATATTTAAATAACACTGCCCAACTTGGAAACAAACTTGCAAAGTTTTTACAAATTTATTTAAATCACCTAAGCGGATTATAGTGTCCAAATGCATTTTACTTATATTGCGTGGATTAACTGTAGTTATGAAAACTTTTGGTGAGCTTTTCAATCTAAAATGCAATCAGCTGGATGACAAAGTCAAAGTTTGTTTCATTATAACACAAATTGAGTTACACAACACAAGTACAGCTATTCAAAAATAAAAAAAAAATTATTAAAAAAGAAAATGTCTTTAAATAAAATTGTCTTAAAAAATTAGTAGTAATATTAAACAATAAATGAGAGCCACAGAAATATCAATTGCAGATTACAGTATTTCGCAGCAATTTTATAGTTAGTTATTTTTAGCAATAAATTAAAATAATAAAAGTAACTTCTTTTCTATTTATTTTTCTAAAACGAATTCAATCTAAATATAAATTGTTATATATTTATTTCAAAGTTAATAATAATTATTTGTTTTTTTTTATTAATAGAAGAATGAACTTTAACACCATTTAAAACCAGCTCAAGATGCTAACCTCTTCATGGATTAAGTATTTCGTATCTTTTTCAGTAAAATATCTATACAGCCAGGCATCTATTTTTATGCTGCTATTTTTTTAAATATTTGTTTCCATATTCCATATTGATGACGTGGGCGCACACACACAAATACAAACACAAACAGCCGGGCACACCGATGGTGTGCGTGTGCAGCGTGTAGTGGATTTGCACTAGTTTCTCCGGCAGTGACGTCATAGTTTCCACGGCAGACGTCATCGGGAGTGGCGAGGTCAGTCCATGCAACATGCAACATAATGGTGTTGCAGGAATATGATATGGATTCCATGTGCATGCGCTCGTGGAAAGGAAAATGGCGCCTAATTGATTGATGGTCCAATAAGCTGAGGTCAATCAGGAGCCCCGATTTCCCCACCATTTTCCGACGTCTTTCCCCCGACTTTCCGACAATTATGAACTTGCTTGTAAGATTTGTAAGATTTAATTTTTTCATAAAAATAAAAAAAGTGAATAATATTTAGAAAACAATTCCTTTGGACAATATTTTTTAATCTGATTGCCTAGGGTTACATTAGCTGGGCTATAAAATATAGAGTTTAATTTTTAGTAATATAAAAATACTATGAATAATCACTTAGCATATTTCTTAAAATAAATTCCCTAAAAAGACCACAATTCACAAACCAAAGATAATGTTCTTAACTTTAATTTCATCTTCTCTTTAACATTTTCTTCCGAGAGCCTCTGTGGCCCGTCGGACGTCATTGGTCTTCATTAGCCAAGAGACCTCCGCCGCCCGGCCTTTCCATCCTCATCCTCATCCTCATCCGCATCCGCATTCACATCCACATCCGCCACGAAGGACATCCAGCGGGGCTGCACAATTTTCCACATTTTCACCGAGGGAAAGAGAGAGAGGGTGTTTTGGCTTTTCCATTCACTGCTGACGTTTGCCACTCCGTGCCTGCCTTGAAATCCTGCAGTTTTGTGAATGAAAATCTTCAGCGTCATCAATGGGCCGCCCATTTGCCGTGGTGGGTGGTGGGCGTGGCGGTATGGCAACAGAAAAAATACTGAAATGCAAATGCACGAGATAAATGTCAAGCGGTCCAAGCTGGCCATGTGCTCGCTGGCCCAATGTCCTGGCCCATGGAAATGTGCTCCTTTTGTCCCGTTTGGCATTCAATTGGATCTGATTCGGGGCAATTCATCTGGCCGGACTTTGATGACTTAAGCGAACACTGAATTGCAACAGACAGACATATGAGGAATTGCAAAAGGGAAATGGCCAATGCGATTGCAATTTGGGTTTGAATGCAAAGGTAGTTGCGTTTTAATTGATCCAATTCGGAAACTTCTCATTGTTCCATCGCTGTAATCACAGATGTTGGTTTTTGTTATGGGGAAAACGGGAGGCAGACTAACAGGTAGCTATTTAAGATATCAT